TAGCTCTAGTTAATATTTTACGAGTGATGAAGGTGTAAATATATTGGTGAAGGGAATTGTGTCGTGTTAATCCCTCCCCCCGCCCCCCCTGTTATTTATACATTGCACTACTACTTGATACAGCCAGTTTCTTGAAAGTTTACTACCGACTTGGGGTCGGATATAGTAAAAGAGGTTATAACCTCTAAGACCAGGTTACACGCCCATAAGTGGCCGTAACACTTCCTTTTGGATATTTTCCATTGTTTGTAAATATCTTCTACCATCTAGGGGGTGAAGAAACTCTAGATCACTTAATCTTTCCTTTTTTCGACCTTGTGAAAAATATTATAATTGACAAAAAGTTAATTAAGGAACATCTGTGCAGCATCATTGTACAATGTTAACTCATCCAGCAACACTAACTCAAACAATAATATGTTCATAAACACAGGAAATCATATTAACGTGATATATATCAATGATCAAACCCATTAGGGCAGTGAGGTGGGCTCGAACCTGCGACCAACGATGGCAGTGACGAGCCTCAATGTTGTGTAGTCCCTGACGGCTGGGACACACCCAGGACACACCTAGGACACACCCAGGACACCTAGGACACATCCAGGACACACCTAGGACACACCCAGGACACATCCAGGACACACATTCAGGACACACCTAGGACACACCTAGGACACACACCTAGGACACACACCCAGGACATACACCCAGGACACACCTAGTACACACCCAGGACACACCTAGGACACACCCAGGACATACACCCAGGACACCCCCAGGACACACCTAGGACACCCCCAGGACACACCCAGGACACACCTAGGACACACAACCAGGACACACCTAGTGTCGTGACGCTGAACCCCGGTTCATTCCGAACACAGCGATTACACAACACATAACACCTTGCCTCAGCAACCGTTACTACCACCGTGTACTCCTACACACACCAGACCCTTGAGGAGTACCACTAGGTTTGTACTGGAACACAATGAATGAACATATGGAAGGTATTTAAAGGCCGTCGGGTTTTGTCATTTAATTACAAAGAATAGACTCTGACAAATAATAACATATTAACATACTCTATTAGGTAAATACACTTCCAATACCCATAGACCACTTGACCTCCGCGATCACCACCCACACTCGTAACTTCCGCCTAAGTCCCTAATACGGAATGATTACTACAACGCTCCACACCCGGTTAGTCTTTCATTCAATACTCACATACTGCAGACTTAACTTGGTCACTAAGGCTCTCACATAGCTGTCTGCTACACTTCGCTGCTGCCACAAACGGAGACCCCGGAGGACTTGCCAGTTCCACTCCCACAACAAGACTGTCTCCAGCCAGCCATGGCCTCAAACATTTCACCACGCCTCTCAAGGAAGGTATAATCCGATTAACCTTATCCCTAGAAGTATCCCTAACCTTGCTCCTAGAAGCCTGAGTCCTCTTTCCAGGAATTATTAGTTTGGCTAACAGCTGCGGTCTTAATCCCTTTGACCTTTCTTAGATATGTGATCCATAGTCTGTCTACTTAACATGTACTTCCAATCATCATTCGTTAAGTGTTGTAGTAATGATCCTCTAGCTAATAATCCCTACTAACTTGTGGATTACAACAACCAACCTTGTCACAGTATAGTGGTAGTCTCACCATCCTTGCCACAGTATAGTGGTAGTCTCACCATCCTTGCCACAGTATAGTGGTAGTCTCACCATCCTTGTCACAGTATAGTGGTAGTCTCACCATCCTTGTCACAGTATAGTGGTAGCCTCACTTACCAGAGGAATATGTTAAGTGAAGGAATAATCAAGCAGTGCTTCAATGTTACAGATGAGAAAATAAGTGAGAAACTCTGGAGGTAAACTTCGCAACATTCAACACCTATATAAGTGTAGTGAACGGAATTTCCCAATTTGAACATCTTTACCATTGAGATCATTGCTGTTTTCTTATATGTGCTGCCATTCTATTATGGTGTTTATAAATCTTGTTTATCTGTATCTTTTGCTACCCAGTCTCCCAATCTTTATGTACCCATTCTGAACATCTTTACCATTGAGATCATTGCTGTCTTATATGTGCTGTCAATCTGCTGTATGGTGTCTATTAATCTTGTTAAATTATTAATCAAGCTGTCAATGTAATCAATCAGAGCTTTAATATAACAATGTGCTTTAATATACTTACTTATCTCTCTCATCTCATTTTTCTCTTGTAATGTATCTTTCATTTATCAATTCTGATTGAACTTACCTACTTAAAATTATCTGCTAGATTAAGGACCTGCCCGAAACGCTGCGCGTACTAGTGGCTTTACAAGAATGTAACTACTGTACTATCCAATGTATTCTCACAAACCCAATGTACCTTCTTGTATATATATAAATAAAATAAAATAAAATAAAATAAAATAAGTGATTGTAACCTTCTCACCATCGCCCACTGGATCAGTACCGGTGGCAGGGTAATATAAATTGAAAAATCTTCATCGACTGTCAGAATTATTTACCTAGAAACTGCCGTCAACTCATCTTAGTGAACGCCATGAAACCCTATCACTCCTTATATTATCTAGAAACTCCTATAGCAATGCCTTTATATAAGAAGAAAAAAGAGGAGCAGCAGCAGCTGGAGCAGCAAGCTTCACACGTTCTCACTTTATGACTCTGGATGCCCTCCCCACTTTTTTTTTTGTATGTATGTATGTATATGAGTTCTTTACATTTTTTCTTACAAGTCCACGAGCGATGTGGCGTCTTCGTGTGACGTTTGCTTGTTTGCCTGTTTCTTTGGGAATTGAGGGAATTCTGCCTCTGTTTGGTTTTCTGTTCCAATTTTCTTACCATGTGAGGTCTGTTTTGTTATACCTACCTTTATGGGTGCCTATCTTGAGGTTATCTTGAGATGATTTTTGGGCGTAGCGTCCCCGCGGCCTGGTCCAGGACCAGGCCTCCTTTTTGTTACACAACCCTAGGAAGCAGGCCATAGCAGCTGCCTATCTCTCAGGTACCTATTTACTGCTAGGTGAACAAGGGCATCAGGGTGAAAGAAAATCTGCCCCTTTGTTTCCGCCTCCACTGGGGATCAAACCCGGAACCTTAGGACTATGAATCCTGAGCATTGTCCACTCAGTCGTCTAACCCTGATCTATGGCAGATAAGGCCATTGCTCCCTGTGCCTCTCTGAGGGGGCCAGACTCTGGCTTGTGGTCCCCAGTAGGCTGAACTCCACTGACTAAAGTCCTGGTCTAATGTATCGCATATTAGCCAGATAACTCCAGGGAGCCAAAGGGGCTCCCCACAGAAAGCTACCTTGCATGCTCTGCATTATGAGGTAAGGTTCACACTAAAACACTCCTGTATTCATCAATTTCATTGGATTAACAGTCATAGAAGTTGAGGAAGTGTGCACTGACAAACTAGGTTTGTGACCCTTCACAATTGGGATTACGCTTTTATTCAAAGCGTCGGCACTCTTGATGGTACCATAATGTCAAAGAGCTATTATAATCAGAATTTATCAATTAATAGCACTGTACCTTAGGCTTTAGCTTGCATGTCGCAGTAGTGAGGCTGTGAGCTGCTCATTTACAAGCATGGTTCACATGGGAACCTTAATTGGGTAAACTGTTTAATTGGTATAAAAAACAATTATACCCCGCAGACACCCGGTGGGCTAGTGAAACTTTGGAGAAGTCCACTGGCTGGTCTTCAATGACACCTCTCTCTGTGTCTTGAACCTTTCAACTCATGGTGTGGACATTTTGGGGTTCAGGACTCTGTATATCCTGCAGTCACACTTCTGGTTTGTGGTTGTTTGTGGAGGGGTAGTTTTTCTGTTTAATATTTTCTGTCCACTGCGGTATCTGTCTTGATTTGGTGTTGGTAGCATAACATGGATTTCAGCAGTGCTTCTAGTAATTGTGAACACATGAGGCTGCCTGAACATTTTTTATTTTTGGGCACAAGTGCACTGCAGAGTGCAGAGTGCATTACAGGAACAACCGTCGACATCTTCAAGAGGAAACTAGATTGTTTCCTTCAAGGAGTGCCAGACCAACCGGGCTGTGGTGGGTATGTGGGCCTGCGGGCCGCTCCAAGCAACAGCCTGGTGCTCCAAGCAACAGCCTGGTGGATCAAACTCTCACAAGTCAAGCCTGGCCTCGGGCCGGGCTTGACTTGTCTCTCTTACATTTTGCAGGGACACCACTAGGACCTGGTTGTGGCTCACGGCTTGCTTGTCTTACTAAGAATCTGTCTATAGACACTTGTTTTTCTCTATGTTTCAACACTTGTCTGTAGTGAGACATCACATTGTCTCACTATGAATGATCTCTTGTTTTTCCTCTATCATCATCCTCACAAATATTTTCTTAGGTTGAACTTAACCACCGACTTTCTTGAACCCATGTCGTAATATATAATAAGAACTTTTATGTTTAGAAACCAAAAAAGCACAAAAAGCAACTAAATTCTTCACAAAGAATTCAAGAGTGGTCGTCATTAGGCGGGAGACACTGGCAAATTGAAGCGCGCCACGTGCGTGGTCGGCCCATATGTGTATCAACAAACTCAAGCACCAAGGCAAACCTCGAATACCAAATCATAGTTTTTGAAGAAATTGAGCTCAAGAACCGAAAATTTTTAAAAGAGGGGCATTCAAAAACCCGAGGTTCGATATCGAAGTGTGGGTGGGCTGAGAATGCTCATCAAAGCTCACTACAGATCAATTAAAACTAATACACTATAGCTTTTCTAAGTTCCTTAGAAGGATACAGTCTGGGTATCTACAACTGAATCATAACCAAGCAATTATTCACTGAAAAATGTCGATGTACCTTTGGTTAACATTACTATTTACTTACCTTGCTGGTATGCAGCCGGGGGTTCCCAGAATGCGTCTGGCGACAGCTAATGATGATGGAATGATTAGTTGCTGCACATGGTGCATAATAAAGGATGAATATAAACTTTTGTATTTTTGTACTCTTCTTTATTTACTGCCAACTTGTAACAATTCCTTTAGGTACCTTATTGTAGAAGACAAACAAGTCTACCATGTTAATTGGAGTTATCTTCCAAATTCTATTAAAATAATAATGCTACCAAAAAATACAAATCGATCCCAAGTATATCAAATATTATTAAGAAGCACCAAGAACAAAGTACTGTACACTTTTTCTGCAGATCAAATTTTGCATCTGAGGGCTTTATCACATCTAACAAACATGAAGAGGCTAGTGCTCTATAGCAATTATGCAGTCAATGGATGCAATGAAATTCTCTTATCTCTATATCTTGTGCTTTGGTGAAGCCAAGCCTTTAGAAGTACTATAAGGCCTCCAAGACCTACACTGACCTACTGGGAGCCAGGACCAGAACCTACCTCTCTCCACAAGCAAGGAGAACTTCGGGACTTGGGGACCCAAGCCCACGAAAATCAACCAGAGATGGGAAACAAATAAACTGCTGCCCGAAGAAAGAAATTACAAGGCAAATAAGGTAAACAACTATTGCCATGAACATATAGCACTAACCTTGTTGCAACCAGATATTGGTCCAGGTCAGCTGAGGTCCTGGCCAGCCACCTGCCTCATTCACAAGGTGCCAGAACCCATCCCCCAAACATTCCACTGGGGAAAGGACTAAGAATAGGGAGCTAGAGGACTCACCAGAAAAGGTAATTTTATTATATTCAACATTTGATTTCTTGTAGGCCTTCTTGGCAACTCCCCGCAGCTTTTTACCAATGGTACATCACCAAAGGAAGACCCATTTTTCTGAGAGGACAAATGACATCAGTACTAAGAGAATAGGTGGGGAAGGGCTTCTGCAAGGAAAATTATAACAAGAGCAAGGCCAGGGGGTCTACCTACCATGTGGAACTTCCAGGGGATCAATGGCCCCACTGCCCCAGGGGTGGAGGAACCTAAGCTGCATGCCAAACACCCAAACACCACACAGGCACAGCAAGGAAGCAGAACAACACTCAAGTAGTGGGAAGCCATAAATCTGTTGGAATGCCTAAAAATTCGAGCCTGGATAAGAGTCGGTGACAAAGAACCCTAAAATCACAGCCAAAGCAGAAAAGGCCCCCAACCAACGATAGTTAGATGGTGGAAGAGAACCAATCATTAGAAACCAGGAGAGCCATCTACAAACCCATGGACAAGAGATGGCCAACTAAAAGAGGCCAGCACCCAGACTACGAACCAATTCAGATCAGGTTGGTGAGGCTACCACTATACTGTGGCAAGGATGGTGAGACTACCACTATACTGTGGCAAGGTTGGTGAGACTACCACTATACTGTGGCAAGGTTGGTGAGGCTACCACTATACTGTAGCAAGGATGGTGAGACTACCACTATACTGTGGCAAGGTTGGTGAGGCTACCACTATACTGTGGCAAGGTTGGTGAGACTACCACTATACTGTGGCAAGGTTGGTGAGGCTACCACTATACTGTAGCAAGGTTGGTGAAGCTACCACTATACTGTGGCAAGGTTGGTGAGGCTACCACTATACTGTAGCAAGGATGGTGAGACTACCACTATACTGTGGCAAGGTTGGTGAGGCTACCACTATACTGTGGCAAGGTTGGTGAGACTACCACTATACTGTGGCAAGGTTGGTGAGGCTACCACTATACTGTAGCAAGGTTGGTGAAGCTACCACTACTGTGGGAAGGTTGGTGAGACTACCACTACTGTGGCAAGGTTGGTGAGGCTACGAACGCCATTTTCTGGGTGAGCACTGAAGGCTCCCTGGAGCCATAGGACTGATACACACTATATTAGTCTGGGGCTTCAGTCAATGGAGTCCTGCCTATTGAGGACCAGAGCCGGAACCTGACCCTCTCAGAGGCACAGGGAGCAATGGCTTAAGGAGACCCCCTTGTATATGGGGGTTATTCCTAGTCTACCATCAACCAGGGTTAGGCACCCAGAAAGGTAGGCATCTCAAAACAATCCCCACATGGTAGAAACTGTAAAAATCCAAGACACAGCAGAGAAATATAACTACCCAAAAGAAAACAAACGAAACCCCCTTGTACCTGCAGGAGTTTTGAATCGCTCTCTATACCTACAAACGCCACATGGTGCTCTGCGCACCCTCTATCCAGTGTCACAAGGCACTCTGCACAGTGCAGTGGTTAAACTTTGTTGCCATCCTAACAGTGCACAGTATATTGATATAATATATTTTAAATTGGCAAAGAATGAATACTTGTGCTTGATCACGTTAGGAGTTGATTTAGAATTAGAATCTCACGGAATTAGACCAGTGAGGACCATTTCAGCTATGAGCATAGATGCACACACATCAACTTTGAACTGAACCATAGCTGATCCGTACATTGAGAATCTTGAATGGTGAGAAATTAAGTTCAATATATAGATGTGTGTCTGCTTCCTCAACACTAATGGAGAGCTCCTTGTATGGTTCCTCAAGTCCTGAGCAAAGGCAAGCACTCCTGGGTCTTGGTGCTGAAGGAAATTTCAACCTGAAAAAACAGTCTTTCTCAATTGATTCACTAAAATGCACCTCTCTAGTACAATAACAATAAGGCCACTGATGCTCTATCTTAAATCCAAAATTCATAATTCATTGTGTCGGGGGACAGGCAGCCAGTTTATATATAGAGTAAATGTTAGGCTTATATCGAGGTCTGCCCCAGGGTCAAATTACTGACCCTCCCCAAGATGCAACCCCACCATAATGTGACCCACTCCTGGGCACCTATTTACTGATAGGTGGACAGGGTCATTAGGTGATAGGAAATGCACCAAACCATTTCTGTCCTGCCCTGGATTCGAACCCGGAATTCTTAATCGAGTGTTGAGAATGAACCTGACTGTACTACCGGGACCCTTACAGTATACAGTATATATATACAGTAATCAAATCTTGTATAGCAACAATACGTTCTACTGGCATCAAGATTAACTATTAAATCACTTCTCTGGCACTATACTTAGTCATTGTTACTGAATATATTAAATAATATAGACTCTGAATGTAATGTCATGACCATTTTCTGTGGGCCACTTGGTAGCTGCCCAGGCCATAGTAGTGAGGCTGTCAAGCCCTAGGGAATCGCATCCAGCTTCTCAGATGCACCTAAGCCTACCAGGTGCCCAGAGCAGATTCTTGCTTTCTACAAAGTGAGGAAAACTTTGGGATCAAAGCTCAACCCGTAACTAAGAAAAAACCGGCATTGAATGTAATGAAACGCCATTTTCTGACTGAGCCCCGGAGGCTCCCTGGACCTATCGGACTGATATGCAAAATACAAATCTAGGGCATTAGTCAATGGAGTCCAGCCTACCAGGGACCACGAGCCAGAACCTGGCCCCCTCGGAGAGGCAAGGGAGCAATGGCCTCTAGAAACCCCCCCCCCCCCTCTGTGGATGGGGGTATTCTTTGTTTGCCATAGCTCGGGGTTAGGTACACCTAAAGGTAGGCATAACAAAACAAACCCCCCCACTTGGTAAGAAAATTACAATGGAAAACTGAACAGGGAGGCAGAACTCCCCCAACTCTCAAGGAAACAAGCAAACGTCACACCACCGCTGCCGCGCCGCTTGTCCGTGCAGCCCTCCCCTACCAAGGAGGAAGGGGGGGAAAGGGGAAGCCCTGAACCTCCCTCCCCTGCGCCGGCTACACAAACAAACATCCCAGTTCAGAGGCCGAGCATGAAAAGTAAAACAAAACCACCGACTAGATGGAGAGAGGGTGCCAGGGAGCCTCCGGGGCTCACCCAGAAAATGGCGTTTCATTACATTCAATGCTGGTTTTCTGAGGGAAGCCCCTTCGGCTCCCTGGAGATACATTACACAAGTAAAAGCGGGACTTACCCGAGAGGCGGATGCCACGTGCTCCTCAACTAGAAGTCAAGACAACAGGCTGCAACCTTTGATCCAAAGCCTCACACGAATGCCCAGGACCAGGAATGTTTACCAAATAACGGGCGGCCAGAATCCTGTTTGACCTCCAAAAGTTTAAGTTATGGATGGAATTGGCTTCAACAACCCCTTTCCTTCGATGTTTTCCACTTGCAAGGCACCCTTATAGTGAATGAGGACTTCCTTGCATCTCTCCAACTCAATTGCATATCCCGCTTCCACTAATGCCCCCCACCATCTTATCCGTCATAATTTAAAAGGCTTCCTGTATTCACTTTGTTTATTTCCTTGAAGACCTCATATGTGTAGTTATCACATCCTCTCTATTTCATCTTTGAGGTTGTAAGCCTGTCCTTAGAATGGCTCACACAGAAAAGAGCATTTTATTGCATTCAACACTTTCTCAGTGGCTCCCTGAGCCAACTTGCAACGGTGCCTCAGCAGAGGTCAGCTTTACGGCAAGGCAAACAAAATAATAATAAAACAGGAAAGACAGGCTGGGCTGACCTTGAAAGAGGACATCAGGGAAAGATGGCCTGAGGCAAAAGAATAACCACTTCATGCCAAATGATTATGCACCACAAGGTAGTGAAGCCAAGGGTTATCCACTGAGCAGCAAGAGGACCACACACAGTTGGACTACCGGAAACCTTACATCCTTGCCAAACTGTGCTATGATCCAGTGTACCCTCTTCACAGTGAAGAGGGTACTTTGACCTTTGGAAGTGACAGCATAATATAAAGATAACAATCTTATAAAGTACTGTATATATAAGTGTGATAAATCAAGCTTCTAAGCACAAGTGAGAGCCTTCTATGTAATTTCAAATGCCTTTAAAAGTTTCCAAAACACTTCATTGAGCATCTAACACATTTGGCCCACATATCCACTACTACCCGGTTGATCCAGCACTTCTAGAATGACCGTGTCTAATTTTCTCTTGAACATGTCCAATTTTGTCCGGCAATATTTCTTATGTTTGCTGGGAGGATACTGAATATCCGTGGACCTCAGATGTTCATCCAGTGTTCTCTCTTTGTACCTATGGCACCTCTACTTTTTACCAGGTGTATTCTACAGTTTCTAACATATCTTTTGCTCCAGTATGTTGTTATTTTACTGTGAAAATTTGGGTACTGCCCATACAAAGATTTACTGTACTCATCCTGTTACCAAGCCTACAAGGTGCTGCTTGTAGTGAGAAACAAGACTGATTAATTGACTGGCTAAAAATAAATGACCTGGTATGATAACAAGGATGACATTAGTGTTGTATAACCACATATTAGCTCTTATATTGTGTACTTACAAGACTTTAGGGCTCCCGCCTCCCATCTCATACAGGCGTACTATAACGTCGCCAGACTTGTCCTCCGCCAACTTCACGGCTTCAATCATAGCTCCATCTCCAACCAAACTGTACCAGATATACCTGTCCTCACTGAGAGAAATAAATACTCTAAGAAATACAGTAATAATAAACTTTCACAAATATGTGTAGTTTAATGATAAAAAGAGAGAAATAGATAACATGAAACATTAACTTGGCTATATTTCAGGACTACTTGGTTACCCCGAGCAAATAATCTACCAACCTTAAAGAAGAACTTGAAATCATCAATTTATTGTTGAACTCGTAAGCTTTCTGCTGAATGCCAGCACTTTGTAGAGAACCTGCAAGCATTAATAAGAAGTGTGTGTATATTTTCTTAATTTTTAAGAAGCAGAAAAGGTAGGAATATTTACCCATATTAGAAATTTATCTATTAACATTTTATACATTATCATTACTTCATTTTACACTTTCATGGCATGGGAAGGTCTCAATGTTAATAAAAAATCAAGTGCTGAATGTAATGAAACACCTTGTGGAAGGGCCAAACGGTGGCTCTCTATAGCTAGCCATACTGAGATAGATCCATGCAAGAGTCACATCAGCCCTAGGCGTCTGTAATAGCCTACTGGAGACTCGAGCCAGAACCTGTCCCCTCACGGAGGTGCTGGGACCGTGGGACTGAAATGGTCACCCCTCACCAAGGATACATCCAGAAAGGAAGCGAAGCAAAACAGTGTTAGCAAGCGTCACATGTATGTGATTACAAGCCTCACTTGTTGTGATGACTTTGGATACTGTTCATTTCGAGCTGCACTGGCTTCGGCAGCCCTTCTCAAGGCACTTGTTTAGTGATACCCCAACCCTGACAGTACCTTCTATGGTGGTTTCAGATGTTCATCCCACAGAGGCCAGCCTATTATGTAGGGTGTCCTGAGAAGTGTAAAGGCCTTCTTGAGGTTATCTTGAGATGATTTCGGGGCTTTAGTGTCCCCGCGGCCCGGTCCTCGACCAGGCCTCCACCCCCAGGAAGCAGCCCGTGACAGCTGACTAACACCCAGGTACCTATTTTACTGCTAGGTAACAGGGGCATAGGGTGAAAGAAACTCTGCCCATTGTTTCTCGCCGGCGCCTGGGATCGAACCCAGGACCACAGGATCACAAGTCCAGTGTGCTGTCTGCTCGGCCGACTGGCTCCCCTTTGACTCGTCTGTGAGACTGAGGCTGGAGGCATTATGGGATCTTGTTGATTAAGGCATGTATAGGAATTGGGTTCATGCAATTGTTTATATGGCATGCCTTTAATGCCCTACATAAGCCATGTTTGTCCTACCTTTCAATTACCTTTCAATGATTCGAAGATCACTGTCCCGCAGCCCGGTCTCTGACTAGGCATCCTGGTTGGTGCTCTGGTCCACCAGACTATTCAATGCAGCTGCTTGCAACCTGACACATGAATTGCAACCTGGTTATTCAGGTATTCTTTGAAGGTGTTTATCAACTTCTCTTTTGAACACTGTGAGAGGTTATCCAGTTATACTCCTTATGTGTAGAGGGGAAGTGTTGAAAAGTCTTTGGCCTTTGATGTTAACAGAGCTCTCTACCAGCATACTTACTGCACTTCTACATTTGGAGTCATTTCTACTGGCAAGTGGCCATAGTGCCTGTGTCTCCTTAGCCATTACCTTCAGGCTCTGGTAAGCTTATGGGTCTTTGATGTGGATCTTCATGGCTGAAACTGCACTCACTACTTGCAAGTTTGAGGGATGTCCATCGACACTGCTACATGTCAATAGTCATTCATTTGGTTTCCCCATGTTGCCTGTTGGGTGTGTGATGCCCTCCACCCAGAGGCCTGTAACATTTGTGTTTGCTGGGTCTTGATTATAGCAGAGCATCCCTCTACACAAGAGGCAGGCAAGCAGCAGCCATTTTAGAGAGGGATTCAACTGTATTCATTGTTTCCAGCTTGGTGCTCACGTGCATTGTCGCAGAGTTGGCTCCTATAGAGTTTATGGATTTGAAGTTGGAGCAGCTGGTGAATCACAACTGTTCCAAGTTTGCCACTCCTCCTCCTCCTCCTCTCCTAAAGATGTCCTGCACAGTTTACCAGGCCTCTTGTTGAAACCCGTGATAAAAAATGGCTGAGAGTTTCAGAGCCTGGACAGAGTTTTCCTGTGGGTGTAGTTCAGCCTCCTCTGAGGTTTGCCACTTTCATGTCAACAGTGGAGAAAGTTGAGCAATTCTTTCCCACCAAGGATTTGAATCCTTTTTCACAGGAGGGTGTACTTAGCTCCAATCCTTTAGTCTGGGATGATTCCTACCTTTCTGTTCACCAGGTGAGGAACATTGCTCTGTTCTAATTCTGCTCAAAGATGTGGTATGTGGAAGCTTGATGTGCAGTTGCCTTTGCTTTTTAGTGCCCAGACCATGAAGGGTCACAGGGCCTGTGCTCACTTGAGGGACATTTTATGCACCTGGGCTTCCTTTCCAGCAGGGGCCAACTTAGGGCAGGTGGAATACACCATCCCCTCCAAATCCATGTCCCTAAACACCACACAAGCCACTTCTAGGGAATACAATCGAACATCGTGCCACAAACCACAAATGTGGGAAAAACGAGCCTGCAGAGTGGCAGCTGTCTGATAAGCCTCCTGTCTTGAAGTAAGCTCAGGTAAAATGGAGACCTAATGAGTGCAAACTTATCAAGACTCAGGGTCAAAGGAATCACTGACCCTAAAGGTACCCAAGTCACAACCAAAACGAATGTCCCCAGCAGTAAGGAAGACCTCACAGGGGAGTCAACTCGTGCACTGCCCACAGTGAGGCTCTCCACCCCTGTAGCCTGGCCTGTCAGTTGTTAACTCCCAAACACAACAGAGATGTAACTTTGTCAGTGCAAGGGCAATGCTAGACAAGCACCTAGAGAAGGCTCGCCCCTAAACACTTGCAGTTCGCAGTGAATAACGGACAAAGTCCAAGCGAGAGATGCGGCAGAGAAGCACACATTCATGAAGCAAATACAACACAAAAGATTTATATCGATAAACAAGCAAATGGCCCCCCAACCAAGATGAAGCCCGAAGGATAGCTGGCACTTGGCTGAATAAGAAGTGTGGCTCACTATGATGAGACAACTCGGGAAGTTCTACACAGTAGCACATCAGTAACAGAACAGATCTGAAGTTGGCTGGGATGCCAACTATTGGCATCCATTTGCACTAAGGGGTTTGAACTAGTTTTCATTGAACTGTTTTGAATGACTCATTTATGGAGTCATTTACCTGTTTTGGTGCTTCAAGATTTCAATAAACCTTGCAGTTGTCTGTACTGCTTCACCAACAAACATACTGAGTGTTTTCATGTTGTAGGTGGTCTAGCACTTCTTGCAGAAAAGAGTCCAGTTTGTTCTTCAAGACATCCACTTTTGTTACGACAATATTTCTTATACTTGCCGGGAGGATATTGCTACTGACAAAATGTTAACTAACCTTTGTGCGGCATCAGGGCATATTTGAAGTTGTGGCTTCCCATGTCACAGTGCTCATCAGGCGCTTTGGGAGAGCGCAAGAGGGACAACGTGAGGCTTCCTCCTCGTGCCGACCATCCATACTTACTGTCATTTATAACCGACATGCCAAAGTCATGTTCGGAGAGGTCAGCCCACCTGACAAGAAGATTAAAACAATTCTGTAATTTGAATTACTTTTCTCACTAAAATTTGCAGAAATAATCATCTTCCACTTCAGCATTGATAAAGTTACATACAGGTAGTTTAATTTAATAATGCAATTTTCACTTACTTGTGACCACAGACTTCAAACTTTGCCGCTTCCCACGAGGTATTTGTATGAGTCGGACGCTCAATGTAACCAAACTGGGTATCGAAAGTAGCTGTCCTTGCCAAGATACCAGTGTTAAATGCCACCTTAAGAAATTTGCGATTCTCGTGCCAGCTCACACAGTTGTGGAAAGTGAGATGAGGGCTAACGGCAGACAACTCAATATCTTGAGAAAGGGAAGAGGTATTACTTATTATCACTTCCCAATGAAGCTTCACGACAAGTGGTCCACTCTCTATAACCTTCATCTCTGTCAATGGGCATCCACTATTCTGTTACAAAATATACAAAAAATACACCAGGATAAATAATCATAAGTGGAAATACAAGTCCATTGAAAACTCAACCATAGTCCCCCGCAGTTATTGATACATAAGCACTGATGACTAGACTCCAGCACTAAAGCCTAAAACAACCAAGACTCCAGCACTAAAGCCTAAAACAACCAAGACTCCAGCACTAAACCCTAAAACAACTAAGACTCCAGCACTAAAGTCTAAAACAACCAAGACTCCAGCACTAAACCCTAAAAGAATTAACACTCCAGTTTACTTTACTTGTGAAATTGTACATACAGCAGAACCTTGGTTGACGAATGCCACTCTTTACAAAGTTCTCGGTTTACAAGCTCAATTTCTTCGTAAAATTCGACTTGGTATACGAGCTCTGCCTTGCTTGCAGAGTTTGTTTATTCAGACAACCACTTGGTTTGCGAACTTAAGTTATCCGAAAGTTCCAATTTCACGATTGGGGTTGGGGTTTCATGCTTCACGAAATAAGTTCGGGAAGCAAGGAAGCGGTCTGCCAGGCCTCGTGCCAGCCTCGTGCCCAGACTTACTTGTATGTATACAAGAAGGTACATTGGGTGTGTGAGAGTTCATAACACTGGTGTTCTGTAAACATCAGACTCATGTAGCTTACAAACTGTGACTGGTTGCTACCACAACTATGAATGCCTAACAGCCTTTGACTGGTCATGACTGACTGACTTGTGATTGTGAATGCCTGCCTGACTTTGACTTGTGACTGAATGACCAGTACAATTTATATATGAAGTTTTGGAAAACAAAATCAAAGGGAATGAAACAAATGTCAATTAAAGAGTCTTTTGCAAAAGCTTCCAAGAAAGCTGGCATTGCCTCACCTGCACCTGACTCATCACATGTTGACCCAAATGAGTCAATATCAGAGGTTACCTCATCACCATTATTCTTCACTTCAGTCAACCCAACACCATCAATATCCACCACCACTTCTTCCATGTAAATAAGTATGCTCCATCAACAAGTGGATCAGGACTTCTTTTATTGGCGAGTACAAACAAAATACTGTCGCATTTATCTTATGAACCTGTCGATTTTTTCCTTAGATTTCTTCCTAAATGTCTTGTTTATTTTTTTCTTGCATCTATCTTTTGTTTTCCTGCAGTTCTCGTTTACAAACTTACACAATAAGTTCGGGGACGAGACGGGTCTCATCCCCGAATTTACGGATTAAATTCGTAAATGAATGTACCACTGTACTTCATCTGTCCCATGCGACTGGATATTATTAATAATTCAACTCGATTAAGCTACTGTACATTTAAATATAAAACATAAGTATTAAAAACCACTACCATGTCTCTAACTGTATAAAAACCTTTCCACTGAAAATTTGGGGAACTGTAAATAAACCACTTACTTCATCATTGAGGACCTTAGCAGTTTCCAAGTGATAGTCCATAGTGTCCCAGGCGTCCCAATACAAAGGAATGTCGTCGTATATCATCAGTTGGTTGCCATAGTACTGCGTACCATCACGCTTCCTGAAGACATCACGAGCCGGGTCTGATGCCGAGGTCAAGCTGATAACTTGACCATACTTGGTAATCTCGGCTCTGATGAGACTATTTTCAAGAATAAAATTGCCGTGGATGATACCTTAAAAAGAGAACAAATACTGTGTATGTATGTATGTATGTCCAGGACCTGGGTCAGAAGATTCACTTCTTGAACCTGGGGTCACAAGGTTCACTTCCTGAACCCAAAGACAGGTTCACCACCTGGACCGCTTCATGAAGACGGATGCCGAGTGAATAAACAAATCAAGGCCTGGGATAAGATAAACAAGGGCAAGCGTACAACAAGCAAATCAAACAAGGTAAGAACGTTTTAACTAGGAGACTCAGGTTAGGTACATTTTTTTTTTTTTTTTTTTTTTTTTGAGATATATACAAGAGTTGTTACATTCTTGTACAGCCACTAGTATGCGTAGAGTTTCGGGCAAGTCCTTAATCCTACGGTCCCTGGAATATGATCCCCTGCCGCGAAGAATCGTTTTTTCATCCAAGTACACATACTAAATATTGTGCAATAAGAACATGAAGAATATGGATGTTGATGTGTTTCCTAACTAACCCAAACATCATTTCCTAATTGTATGTGGAGAATTGATTAAGATATTTCTATCTTTTCTATATTATCATGCCTTCACTTTACAGTAGTAAGTGAAACTGAAAAGAGCTGATGAATTTTCTAGGGAAAACTCCGACCTCACCGACAATCATGGCAAGAAACAGCTAACAAGGGGAAAAATAATAGAGGAAGCCCCAAAAACAGGTGAGGAGGGACTTGACTAAACACAGAAAAAGTCTCAACAAGAATGCCACCCCCCCAACACAGAATTCTGCTAGCATGACCTTTACAAGTGCTAAGCAGACAGACTGAAACCAGGAAGAACACACACGACCTTCCCCAAGACCCTAGCAGAGCTGCTCTTTGCTGTGCAGAAAAGCCAAAGCACACCAGAAAAATACCCAACCACCAAAATGAAGAATAACAGAAGATCTATGGAAAACTGCATAAAAATCACAGCTGACACAAGAAACCTCAGAGACTAAGTACCACATAAAAGGCATAATTCAGAGCATTTATTTTATCCAGTTTGGTACTGCCACAAGCAACAAGAGCCAATATCTTTAAAATATATTAACCTACATGTTTTAATTTCATAGCCGACATATTCACTGTAACTTACGAACAGTCACAGGTGTAGGACAAACAGGTGAAAGCTTTGTCCAGCCAATACCCTGTGCTTCCAGTGCAACATAATACCCTCCAGTACTTGCAAGTTGAACAACCTCTCCTTCCACACACATTCGCTTCCTCTTTGGTTCACGAGCCTCATCCTTGAGAATAAGAACCTGCTGAACCTTCCATGGTAATGTGTTCACCACAACCATATCTCCCTGTCTGGCTTCTGGTGTATCTGTAAGATATCAAATGAGATTACACATATCATAAAAGTTATTGAGAAAATCCAAAGGAGCCGTGATGGGGATTCGAACCTATGCGCTGGGAATTACCAGATGCACGCTCTAGACGACTACGCCGCAACTTGGTAAACGCCACGACTACATGGTGTAGTCGTCTAGAGCATGCATCTGGGAATACCCAGTGCATAGATTCGAATCCTCATCACAGCTCCTGAGGATTTTCTTATTGATATATCACGGTAATATGATTTCTCTGTACAGTATACTAAAAGTTATTGTTATTGTTCTTTTCTATATATTACGAGGTCAGTCAATCATAAATCATATGACATTATGTGCGTGAAAACTCAGGCTTTACTTACTTTGCAAAACGAGTGCTGCACAAGCCTCTTTAACCTCAAGAGCACGAGTCAAAGCTTCCTGGAACAAGACGTCTGAGTCATGGTACACAGAGCCGATGCTGGAGCCAGGAAGGACATCATGGAACTGATTCAAAAGGATCTTTTTCCAAGCATCCACCATGGATTCTTGGTAGCTGCAGCAATGTGAATACAACATCTTTGAATACAGCAAAAATCAAAATGACTGGAGTTACAGGAATTTAAAACAGTTGTTATATTAGACAGGAATTTTGTGATTATCTAATAATGATATTAGCTGCCCTGGTAACTTTAAATGTAAAACTAGGGCAAGTTAATGTATAATGATTTTTACGTAAATACAAATAAACAACATGACTGTCTTACACATGGAGTGTCTCCTCATTCAGTAATTTACCAACAGCGGCAAATGCAAGCATCATTTCTGCATCTCTTAATGCAAACTCACATTCACGATTTTGACGCTTTGTATTGGCCTGTTACAAAAAGAAATGTAAAGTACTGAGAAAGTGTTGTCTATTTATAAATAGAATCAAATTATTCATGACTTATAATCAATGCAAATTCTGGATGGACATACAGTGTCATCTCAAAAATCAGCTCTAAATCATTCACGGAATCTTGGATTTAGATGAATTTTAGCTTCTTGTCTATCACCACATATGTGGAACATTTTTATAGCAAATGACAGTGCTAAATATATAAACAATGATTCTGCATCAAAATAATACAAGATCAAGCGTTGATATTAATAAAGTGCACTTTATTACAGTCATCTAAGCCTTGGAGAACACACCAGGACTCAATGACCCCACGAGCACCAACTGGGAATAAGAGGACCTGAATCTCACAAACTCAAAGATGCGAAGGGGAACCTGACAAGTCGGGATCATCAAAGAACCAAGCACAAGACCCACCAGTAAGCTAACAGACTCTACAATAAGCCACTGCTAGGAGACAATCTTGCTAGACTAACCACGGCTAGCCATCTTGCTAGCTGTGGCCAGCAAGATGGCAGATGAATTCAACAGGTAGAAGTGTAAATGATGAAGAGGAAACTTATGATTGAGCAGAGCCTGAACAGGGAAGCCTGAAGAATGTGATCTTGGCATCAGTGGTGAACCACCAACCAAAAAACCAGCGATGAATGTAATGAAATGCCATTTTCTGGGTGAGACCCAGAGGCTCCACGGAATTATACCGGGCTCATGGGTATGTATTACACCGTGGCAACAGTCAATAGATGAAGTTCTATGCCTACCGGGGACCACAAGCCAAAACCTGGCCCACTCAGAGAGGCACGAGGAGCAATGGCCTATAGACACCCCCATGTAGTTGGATGCAGTCTATATCTGCCATCTACCAGGTCAGGCAACCAGAAAGGTAGGAATCCTAAAACAAACTACAGCTGGTTAAAAATTGCAAAGCGAAAGCCAAACGAGCAAGCAGACCTTTCCAATCAGAAAACAAGAAAACAAGTATGATGTCATCATGCCACTGCTGTCTGCACAGCTCCCCCCCTTCCTGGGAGGGGAAAGGGGGCCCCAATCCTCCCGCACCCAGCTACCCAACCCCAGTTCAGAGGCTGGATATCAAAAACGCGGAAAATCGCATTCAACACTGGTTTTTGTGGAGAGCCTCCTTGGCTTCCCGGAACTACCTAACCAAAAATAAAGGAAAAGAGGGCTTTACCCGGGAGATGGCTGCCACTCACTCCTCAACTCTTAAGTTGAGACAACTGGCTGCAACCTGCAACCCAAGGCTACACACGCCTTGAGAAGAGCCCAGAACATTAACGAGGTACTGTAAGGCCAGGACCCTGTTCGACCTACAAAAGCCCCGTGCTTGAATGTCAGCCCAGGACATATTACCGAAAACAGCCGCCAAAGCCACGAACTTATGAACATCGTGAGCACGAGGATAGCCCTCATGCTGGCAGGACCGAATAATCCTGCAGACGACTTGGGAGACCCACGCCCTAGAACAGGGAAGAAGGGAAACTGGGTCAACCCAAACTGCATCCTGTGCCACGGAGGCTGTAGAGCACAAGTAACAGCAAAGAACTGCAACCGGACACAACACATGATGCACCCCTGGCTGAACCAACCAAGCATCAACAACCCAAGGACCCCCCTGGAAAGCAGCAGTCTCATTCTTCACCAGAAAAGAAGGAAACGGTTTCAAACAAACAAAATGACCACCAGGACCAAAAGAGCAGAAACCCTTGTGTCGGAGGAGAGTATGAAACTCTGCGACCTGACCCCCAGAGATCAATGCCAACAAGAAAAGAGACTTAGAAAAATAGTTCTGAACCGAAGGGGCCACTACATACTGAGGAAGGGAGAGAGAAAAGAGAGCACCCGGTTCAATGACCAGGATGGCTCAGGCAGTGCATGAGCAGGCCAGAAGTGAAACAATGCCTGAGAAAACTTGCGGAACAGAGCAGACATGACATCCACCCTGAATGCAAGCTGAAGCGGCTGTGCCAGCACCATAAGATACGAGGCAACAGTATTCGGAATAAGATGATGGTTCTGAAACAACCATGAGAGAAATTACAAAACAGCCCGATCAGAAATCAAAGACAACCTACGAAGAGACAACAAGTGCCGAAAGGACCGCCAGGAAACTTCGTACTGCCGCCGAGATGAAACTCGCAGGTGGGACACTATCAACAAAGTCGTCTGATCACCATACAAGTAGTGATAAACCCACGTAAAAAAAAAACAGACGCGAAGAGGAGCAAAGGAGAAGATTGAACCAGCCACGTACCGGACTGGACTGATCCGCTGAAAGAGGCGGAGCCGCGAGAAGATCCTCAGGTTCGGACACCAATTAAGCTGCCCCAAGGCTGGGCTGGCCACCAAGGGGCCAGCAGGACTACTCTACCTTGGTAAGTCACCAAGCGAGCCAGGACCTGGAGCAACAACCGAACTGAGGGGAAGAGGTACAGATAACTCCACCTCGACCAGTTCAGCCGAAAGGCATTGACCCCGACGACTTCGCAGATGGAGAAGGGCGCCACATATACCAGAAGATGCCTCAACCAGGCTGATGCGAAGAGGTCCACCTCCAGGCACCTGAACATCAGGCAGAGCCCAAGGAACGAGGCATCATCAACCACACATTCCGTGGACAGGGGAATGAAACGGGACAGGACTCCAAACGCACCCAATACGGGGAAGAAAAACCGAACTCAAATGAGGATGGATCCATGACAGAGACCGAATCTGCATGTTGCAGGAGGTACGCAGCAAGCACCTTCCAAACCTCCTTAGGCGAGATCCGAGAAGCAGAAAACCTCCGGAAGGAAGGAGCCGAGGAATCCAAGGGCACCTGGGGGAAACTTGGGTTCCCAGGGAGGTGTTGACCTGGGGGGCCCAAGCCCCCCAGGTCAACACCTTCCCCTGACCCAGGATCACCCAAGTCGGGTCCCAGGGCAGAGCAGTCCTCCATACCCTCTACCCCTGAAGAAAAGGCAGAAAAGAAGGGAGCCCTGCTGGTGGGACCCAGAAGCCTTGGCAGGAGGAACCGGCTCGAATACCTCCGTCCTCAACCCTAACGGGGTAGCCCCCGAAGCTGCCCAAGACTCATTACCAACTAAACCCCGCTCCGACTCCGAAACCCTCAAACGTTTGGGAGCAGGACGCAGGGAAGGAAAGGGGGGGGGAGGGGGGTAAGGTCAGCAGGGTGAACAACAGGGGAAGGACCAGGGAGCGCGGAATGAATCAAAGTCGAGGCAACTAACGCTTCCAAGTCCAGGTCCCTGTAACCAAAATGGGGCAGCCTCGGGGCATCTGGGTGGGCGACCAACCTAGCGCATTGCAGCAACCTAAACATAGCCTGCAAGACAGATGCCATCTGTACCCAAATATCAATGTTATTAGAATGGGTAACTTGAGAACATGCAGAGAACTCGACTCGCAATACTGTGGGTTAAAGGTGTCGGTGACCCAACAGGCAGCATGACGGAGGCACAAGCGGTAACTATCACCCTGAAACAAGGGCACACAGCAACCCTCAAACTCACACCAGGCGAGGTGAAACTCAGAAGATGCACAATCGACTTGAGAATGGTCCAGGACGGACCGAAACGTCGTCGTCCCTTCAATCTCTAGTGTGTGGTCTGGTCAACATGCATCCATAGGTCCACTAAGCCCCGACAGGGTTTTCCAGGGCCCGTAGGCTGACTGCTACAGGAAGCCCTAGTGGAGGGCCACTAAATTATTATAAGTGGTCCAATAGCCACACCAGGCAAACCAAACAAAAAGAAAAGAAAACCCCCACAAAAATACAACGTCCCCAGAGGAAACAGGAATCGGCTGCTGCATAGATAAGCTGGCTGTGCAACACCTTGATGCCCCAACCAGCAACAACACCACTCTCTACCCAAGCCCAAACAAGGGCCACGAGACCCCAGCTGGCTCCAAGGGCAGGGTAGATGTTAAGCAGCAAAAACCCCTATGGAAATGGTGTCCCCAATGCACCAGGGAAGATAATCCTGACATGCAAGGGGTAGTACTCACAGGGCACTTAGGGAAGGCTGTCCTAAGTGCATGCAGCCCATTACACTTCTGGTACACCTGGCCACCAAACCACAAATAGCAGAGGACACCACACTAAGGCAAAACACTGCATAGGAAATCGAGACCAGAGATGACGACCGCCCTGGATTGCATTTTACTTGATCAACCAGGCTGTGACTCATACGTCAGGCTGCGAGCAGCCGCGTCTAACAGCCTGGTTGATCAGTCCAGCAACCAGGAGGCCTGGTCGACGACCGGGCCGCGGGGACGCTAAGCCCCGGAAGTACCTCAAGGAAGAAGCACCTCAAGGTAGCCAACATACTGGAATAGCTGGGTCGCTGGCGATGGGGGTTCGGGGCTTCCCCTCTCCTTCCTGCAGATGGGGGAAACCTGGGCGGACGAGTGGCATGGCGGTGGGGTGTGACGTTTGCTTGTTTGCAAGTTTTCATGGGATTGGAGGGAGTTCTGCCTCTCTGTTCGGTTTTCGGTTGCAATTTTCTTACCATGTGGGGTTTGTTTTGTTATGCCTACCTTTCTGGGTGCCTAACCTTGGTCGATGGCAGATAAGGAAAACCCCCAACCACGGGGGTTTTCCAGGGCCATTGCTCCCTGTGCCTCTCTGAGGAGGCCAGGTTCTGGCTCGTGGTCCCTGGTAGGCTGAACTCTTATGACTAATGTCCTGGTCTAATGAATTGTATATTAGCCCGATAGCTCCAGGGAGCCGAAGGGGCTCCCCATAGGAAAAAAAAAATTGATTACAGGCAAATGACCAACTGTATAGCAAAAAGTAAAGACAGAAACTTGGAGGTCAAGAATGTGAAAGAATAAGCCCCCCCCCCCAAAAGTATGTTGATAATACAAGTGTAATTATGGCATGGTTTGGGCTGATTATACGTAACATATTAACATATTTGTAGAAGAGCTGGGAAATGATGTACTCAATACAACATGTAAAAACCAACTGCAGAATGAGGAGGCCCAGTTACCTGTGAAGTGTAAGTGCCATTATGAAGCTCGAGGAACAGCTCACCGACCCAGCAACACAGATTCTGTTTTTCAGCCTCAAGATGCTCAAAGAAACTACTGGGAGACATGTGCTCCATCCTGTTCAAAATATAATTTGGAATATTGTTTGGTTAAACAGCCCTAAATAGAAAATATATTCAGTGAGTACACTTATATTTAATTATCATTTAAACCATTACTACTAGAGTGGGGTAATGTTGGGTGACCATCAGCTGGCTAGAGGATAGCTGGCTTGCTAACTAGATTGCAGGGTGGCTGGCTAGTGCATGGGGAAGGTGAACAGAGAGAGAGTGATGTTTGGGAATGCATTCATATCAGACATATACTTTACTTGTTCACACAGCTGTTGAGTTGGCTGAATACCTCCCATGAGGCAGTTCTGAAATTTAGTGATGCCATGCCCCTTCTGATTGATGGTTTTGTCAAGCACACTGTTGGATACCACTGCACGATGTCCCACCCGCTCCTCCCTTCCACATGCATGCATATCCTCCCACATGTACTCCCACTTCCCCTATACATTCTCATCCCCCACACAATCCCACCAACTAATACAAGTTTATTTCTGCCAAACTTTAACACAGGTACACATCCATTTCCATGCAAAGAATACAAGTGTCTGCAATATGTATTTATATATTAATGTACAGTTTTAGTTGGTTTACATAGTTACGATGTCAGGAATGTTATGGTTAGCATGTAAGAAACAGATAAAGATGCTGCTCTAATAAAAGTAAACCTTGTGTGGAAGAGTGGTTGTTCCAAACATGTCAATGTTCAGGTACAATATGCAGATGATGAGTCACAATAACGTGGCTGAAGATACAAAGACTAAACCACCCACCAGAAGATGAGGCGGCGACGACATTTCAGTTAGTCCTGGACCATTATCAAGTTTGTCGCCTCATAATTCTGGTGTGTGGGTTTAGTCTTCAGGTACAATATGGTTGTGTGGTACTTGAAGTGAATGATGAGCAAGTTCAAAGGTTGTGTTCCAGGAGAATGTCAAAGAATTTATAATTAACCGATAACTCGTCATAGTGAGGATCCGAGTCTATTGCCAAGTGGGGAAGCATGCCATGTTACCGTGGCCTGGGAAAATTCTCTCACCTTAATGAATGTTGTACGAAATAGCCAGGAAATACTATGTTTTATTTGTTGTGCTAAAGTGCTATATAGCTGATGTTAATACGGTAGAGCTATGTCATTGATAAGTTCAGTTTCAGGTGCCATATACTGACCAAACCACACACTACAAAGTGAAGGGACGAGGACGTTTCGGTCCGTCCTGGACCATTCTCAAGTCGATTCTCAAGTCACAATCGACTTGAGAATGGTCCAGGACGGACCAAAACGTTGTAGTCTTCACTTTCTAGCGTGTGGTCTGGTCAACATATTTCAGCCACGTTATTGTGACTCCTCATCTGCAAGTGCCATATACAAAATATAGCTAAAAAAATTCTAAAACAGTTGGCATTCTTTCTAAAATCAGACACTGTACTATACTATGTATCTCGATCTCTCATGGTAACGCTTTATTACTCGCTCGTCTATTTTTATTTCACCTACAGTGTCTGTGCCAGGGGTTCTACTACCCAAAATTATATCTGACCTCTAGTTACTGAACACAAATCAACAATCAGAACAAACTCAAGCCCCAGACAGCACCTTGGATGTTTACTTAAATCTTTGAATATGTTAGATATTAAGTCTATATATATATATATTCTCTCAAGTATACTGTATATAAAACTCTGAACTGCAAAGGTAATCCCGAACTTTAATACTTCCTAGAGGGCTGTAACAGAATATATGGGCACCTCACTGGAAACAATTATCCATTTGATATTCCAAGAGTGCAACTTAACCAAAGTAAAAAATGGCCTGCAAATCAAGGGTACCAGAATTTGGAATGACCTCCCTAATCACATCAAAGACTGTTCCTTCTTCAACCACTTTAGAGAAGAAACTAACAACCACCTGATAAAACTATGTAACACACATTACTTCCTAAATGTTAATCTATGTTTGCAGTTACTGAACCCGTCCTACTGCTGTTATCTGCCATGTGAAAATTAATAATGAATTCTATTCCTTCTGTTTATGTCATAAACCCAGCGTTGAGTGTAATTAAACGGCATTTTCTGGGCGAGTCCCGGAGGCTCCCCAGAGCAATCCAGGCTGAATGGATATGTATAACTTTCTGGCATCAAAGTGTTTGGAGTTGAACGAATCCACAAGGGCTGTGGCGAGGATTCGAATCTACGTCCGAGAGCATCCCAGACGCTGCCTTAATCGACTGAGCTACGACATGGTATAAGAATTGCAACCAGAAATTCTACTGAATTTACTTGGATCCTGCAGCCTCTCCGAGACACAAACCAGGATTTTACACAATTCCCCCATGCACTCGAGTGGGCGAAGAGGTAGAACAGCCTATTGACATAGGTTGAGTGCATGGGGGAAACTGTAAAATCCGGGTTTATGTCTCGGAGAGGCTGCAGGATCCAAGTAAATTCAGTAGAATTTTTGGTTGCAATTCTTATGCCATGTCGTAGCTCAGTCGATTTAGGAAGCATCTGGGATGTTCTTGGACATAGGTTCGAATCCTCGTCATGGCCCTTGTGGATTTGTTCATTTGATGCATCACACTATTGTGATTTCTGTGTGTAATGAAGTAAGTGCAAAGAGGTAGAATGGCCTATTGACATAGCTCAGCCAGCACCATCGAAGACGAGGTAACAGTACATGGTACCAAACGACAGTCCCGGAACAACCCCAAAGGGAAAGACAAAACAACCCTATCAGAGACCAAAGGACCCTTCGCAGTGATAGGAAAACCGGAAGGACCGCCAGGAATTACACACCACCTCCAAGACGAAGCACGCAGGTGGGAGACCAACAAGGAAGCCACCAGCGCCCCCACAAGCGAAGAGAAACTAGAGACAAAAACCCAAGACGCGAAGAACGAACCAGTCCTGTACAGGGCTGGACCGACCCGCAATAAGAGGAGGAGCTGCGGGAAGACCCACAGGACCGGCACCGAGTAAAGCAGCAAGTCTTGCCATGGCAGGCAAAAACCAGAAGGAACGGCCGCCAGGGAAACCAGGAACCCAACCCCAGGGAGCCGAAAAGGAACCAACCCGAGCGAGCAGACACGCCCCGTCCAGGAGGAACTCCCCGCCAGGACCCCTGAAGGACCAACAAGGAAGCCACCTGATCACCATAGAGATGATGATAAACTCGCACCACTCAAGCGTGCGGGAATGACAGAAGTGCCAAGCCTCCAAAGCAAAGACAGTACAGTTCGCCAGCCAGGATGACTCCAGAACCTCGTAACAGACCCAGAAAGAGAACGAAGTCCCAAACCTGAAAGACGACGGATCCATCACCGAGGCATAATTCAGGTCACGCAGGAGGTAAGCCACCAGGGCTGCCTGCACCGCAAACGGTTGGATGCAGGAAGCCGAAAACCTCTAGAAAGATGGAATTGATGCACCCGAGGGAACCCGGAACCGAACCCAGGGAGGAGCAGACACCAAATCCTACTCGTACGCAGAGGGGAGGAAAAGAGAACCCCCCTCCTTGTAACAATAAGCCCCGCTCTGAGGGTAGAAAAACCCAGGTGGGGTCCAGCGGGGCCCAAGGCCCCCAAGTCAGCTCCTCTCCAGCCCCAGGATCCCCCCATCTACGGGACCCAGGGCCGAGTCGTCCACCAGAGCACCGTCCCCTAAAGAAAAGGCCGGCGCAGCCGAGAAAGCTGAAGAGAAGGGGGCCCACTGGTCAGACCCAGAGGCTTCGGCAGGGAGATTGGACTCGAATGCCCCCGTTGCTACACTGGAAGGGGCATCCCCCGAGACCGCTCGAGACTCTAGACCATCTAACCCTGGCCCGACTCCGAAACCCTCAGACATTTCGGAGCCAGAAGCAGGGGGAAGAGAGCCAGAATGAACCACAACAAGGGAAGGTTGAGGGGGTGCGGACTGAACCAAGGTCGAAGCGACCCCCACCCCCAAGCCCATGTCCCTATAGGCAAAACGAGGCAGCCTCGGGGCATCCGGGTGAGCAACAAACCTATCGCGTTGCAACAACCTAAAGTGCACATGCAATACCTGCGCCGCCTGTATCCATAGAACATCATGAGACTGGGTAACCTGAGTCACCAGCAACAGATCTCGCAGGGCTTCGCGTTGAAAGTGTCTCCGACCCAACAGGCAGCGTGACGGAGGCAAAAACCGGTGAGGGTCACCCTGAATCAAGGGAACTGAGCAACCCTCGAACTCGCACGAAGCGAGGGGGGCTCCGAGGACACTTCCATCAGACCCACGCGCCCCCAAGGGGTTTCCCAAGGTCCTGAGCACTTAACGTAACTCATGTCCAGGTAAACCCAGGCAGGGTACTGCTAACCGGCGCCCACAATTACTGAGCAACTTTCTAAAGCTGAACCCCCAGAGACATGTACACTCACGGGGACCTACCAGGGGGCACCACCCGAAAAGAACTGTGTGCAGGTCAGGCACAAAAAAAAGGGGAAAACAAGGCCGGCCCCCCCCCCCCACAAGGCAAAAAAAAACAAAAATAAAAAACGCAAGAGGACAGCGCACCCCAAGGAACAGAGTCAGCAACTGTGAATGGTGACAACTAGCTGCACAGTACCCTGCGCCCCGCACCAGTGCAAAACGGCCTCTTACCCTAAGGTAAACAAGGAACATAAAAACCCCAAGTATCCAAAGGGCAGTCGAAAAACCGAGCAGTAAAACGGCCCAGCAGAGGCAGGTCCCGAGGAACTTGTAGAAGGCAACCCCAAGCTCCAAGGGCAGTACTTACAGGGCACCTAGGGACGATAACCCTAAGCGCATGCAGCCCGAGTACTGTAGAATAACTCCTGGCTTTCGCATCCCTGGAAAACAGCCACCACACGCAAAGCACAGCGCTGGAATCACTGGAGCCAAGCACACAACCTCCACCTCTAACATCAGCCTTAGAACTGAAGGGTAGATAGCCAGCGTGGGGGGTCTGGGGCTCCCCCTTCCCCCTCCCGGGGAGGGGGGAGCTGCGCAGACCGCGGTGCGGCGATGTGTGACGTCATGCTCATTTGCTCGTTTCTTTTAAGGGGAGTTCTATCCACTTGTTCGGCTTTTGGTAGCAATATTTTCACCAGAATAGGGGTTTGTTTTGGGATGCTTACCCTTCTGGATGCCTGACCCGGTTGATGGCAGACATAGAATACTTCCAACCACACAGGGGTGTCTATAGGCCATTTGCTCCCCATGCCTCTCTGAGAGAGCCAGGTTCTGGTTCGTGGTCCCCTGTAGGCCCACAGAATTCCATACACATGACTGATGCCAAAGTCTGACATTAGCATTTCAGCCGAGTAAGCTCCGGGGAGCCATAGGGGCTCCCCCCAGAAAAATAGTAAATCTCGTCTTGCCTTGCCAGTTACATATTAGCCCAGGGGTAACTATTTTGAATTTGCGAGGTATGAGAAGCCATGAATTCTTTCGAGAATTTGAAAGAAAGATATATTCTTTTGAGAATTTAGAGATTTTGCCCATTCCAGTATAATACTATTTACATCTGCATTACCTGTGTTCATAATGTGTTTCCCCAGTGTGCATATACAATATATAATTACTCAATGAAAGAACAGTACAGTATTGTGTTTTATCTGTCTTGTGCAGAATATTTATTATTCTATTTCATATTTTGTCCTATAATTATATATATATATACAGTACAGCATTTTATCAGGGGTGTTTCCTTTAACTTACCTTCAATACCATACCATAATATACCTCTTTACAGCATATATTGCAGAGAGGTTTATGTGCCATTACTGCAGAAACTAAGTCACAAAAAAGTGAACCCCCTACTCACTGATATTTAAAGCCTTATGATCAATTTAAGTTATCCTTATACCTAAATACACATAAAGGCCGTGCAAAATGTAACGAGGAAAAGCCTACAAGAGAGGATAGCTGTCATAATGTACATAACAGTGAACACATCTCCATAAGAGCCATGCTACAACGAGCCCCTTACAGCACTGACTTGGTTAATGCTCCACATTTTTCAAAAATGCATCCCCTGCATTAAACAAGGTAAGTGTGACTAGTATATTATGTTACAGTATTCCTTAGCCAAATAAGTTTTAGTATTGTCAATGAATAATAATGATTTTCTAAGTGAGAAATTAAATCTAAAGTAGAAATTATATGGAACAAATATTAAATTTTAGAAGAACAACATGCAGTAGAACAGTGCAAAACTGCTCGTGTAATTGAAATAATGCGGGGCTTCCGAGCACCACCGGGGGAGCCGGTCGGTCGAGCGGACAGCACGCTGGGCTTGTGATCCTGTGGTCCTGGGTTCGATCCCAGGCACCGGCGAGAAACAATGGGCAGAGCTTCTTTCACCCTATGCCCCTGTTACCTAGCAGTAAAATAGGTACCTGGGTGTTAGTCAGCTGTCACGGGCTGCTTCCTGGGGGTGGAGGCCTGGTCGAGGACCGGGCCGCGGGGACACTAAAATGCCCCGAAATCATCTCAAGATAACCTCAAGATAACCACAATGTTTGTGGGTAACTTATTTTCTTACGTGAATACAGCTATACGATAATTATTTTATGTACTGTACAGTATTGTATTTTGTATTGTTACGGACATCACTCTGGAAATCTATGCATAGTAATCTACCGGTAATTCATACCTAAAATTATAAAATTATGAAGTCTTTAATTATCTTAAAAAAAGACTGAATAGAAACAAACCTTGGACAGCCATCCACATCCTTCAACCTATGTGCACGCTCCAGCATCTCCCTGGTTGGTCCGCCTCCACCATCACCATATCCGTACAAGAAGGCTGAAGTGCTAACCCGACCCTTATCTTGAAGGTTCTTGACACTCCGCATAGCTTCTCCAACTCTAGTTGATATAAAAACTCTTGTTATTTAAAAAGTAACTTGCATCAATAACTAACACTAACAAGAATATAACTATGTGCTGGTCAGATTTAACCCCTGAATTTTAACGTAATTAAAAATGGTAAATTTTAATGTAATTAAAATTCAGGGGTTAAATCTGGTCAGCCAATAGGAGGGGAAAAAATTAAAACTGACCCTTCTCTCCCACTTATTAAATACTACTTCTGTTTATGGATACACACATTCAAGTACTGTTTGCAAGTCTACAATATTTCCTTCCTTGATTACTCTTGCTTACGATTAAAAACATCCCGTTGTTCTGCACGTAGAAAGTTTGAGCTTTGTATTGTACACTTTACCAAAATTCGCTCTTTCCCCATATAGTGCCTCTTGGTCTGCCACCAGAGGGCAGGTCTACTTGCCTTCTCTGTGTTTATTCGCCTTTTCTGCCTTACCTGTCGAGTTGGGTCTCGAAAAGGCTTCAGGCCAGGGATTAGCAGGCTCTAATGGAAAGGAAAAGGAGGAGTGTTGAGATACCTCTGGGAACTACTACGTTTGGATTGTTGACGGAGGTGGCAGGACTTTCTATATATATATTACATGTCCAAGTCAATTCGTGGGTGTATACCTTGGGGTATCCCTGGGGGTGCAATGACTTTTCTGGTTGATGCTTTATCACTTCCTGCAGAGAGGATAATCTCACTTCCTGCAGTGCTCCATATTTGGAGCATACCTGGAGATGGTTCTAGGAGTTCTTTTACTGCTGAGCCCAGCCTGAGATCAGGCTCGACTTGTGATAGCTTGATCCAACAGGCTGTTGCTTGGAGTGGCCCACAGGCTCACACATCCACTACAGCCTGGTTGGTCCGCCACTTTTTGCAAGAACGTATCTAAGTGCCTCTTGAATACAGCCACCTTTGTTCCAGCAATATTTCTAATGCTTGTTAGGAGGGTGTTGAACAGCTGTGGACCACTGATGTTCAGACAGTGTTCTCTGACTGTGCCTACTCTTCACTGGTTCTATTCTGCATTTCCTTCCGTATCTTTCATTCCAGTATGTTGTTATTCTACTGTGCAAATTTGGGAACTGGCCTTCAAGAATGTTCCAAGTACTGTATATATTATTTGATACCATTCTCGTCTCCTTTCCAAAGAATACATTTTGAGAGTTTTGAGATGGTCCCAATAATTTAGATGATTCATTGTTTCTATGCGTACCATATATACTCTATATTCCCTCTAATTCAGAGATCTCTCCTGCTCTGAAAGGAGAAGCGAGTACCGAGCAATACTCAAGATGGGATGGCACCGGTGATTTAAATAGTATTAGCATTGCTGTGGGGTCTCTGGATTTGAACGTTATCATAATCCATCCTATCATTTTCCTGGTCGTCGATATATTTGCTCGGTTATGTTAATTTAATGTCAGGTCGTCAGACATCGTAATTCCCAGATCTTTTACATGTTGCTTTCCTTTTATAAGTAGGGCTCAGTTGAAGATAAGAGCCCAATAGGCTCAGGAATCTTTATACCATTTTATTGACAGCTGAGAGGCAAAACCAAAGAACCAAAGCTCAACCCCCTGCAAGCAAGCACATTTAGGTGAAAATAGCTGCAATTTGGTGTGTGTGTGTGTACACATCATGCAATGGAATCTCAGTGGCTCCCAGAACTGGAAGACAAGAGCTACGCGAAGAGGTTAGAGGCATTAAATATGACAAAACTAAAAGATAGAAGAAAAAGAGGTGATATGATTCACTATGTACAAAATAGTAACAAGAATCACCTAAATTGATAGGGAAGAATTCCTGAGACCTGGAACTTCAAGAACAAGAGGTCACAGATTTAAGCTAACTAAATAAAACTGCCGAAGAAATATAAGAAAATTCACTTTCACAAGTAGAGTGGTAGACAGTTGGAACAAGCTAAGTGAGAAGGTGGTGGAGGAGAAAACCATCAGTAGTTTCAAAACGTTACACAACAAAGAGTGCTGGGAAGACGGGACACCACGACCATAGCTCTCATCCTGTAACTACACTTAGATAATTATAGTGTACTTAGGCAATTACACTAATGTAACTACCCACCAGAACTGCTTAGTGGTTCGTAACTGTGCATAAACATGTAATTATACATAATGTTTGTATACAATGTGATGACAGGAAAATGGTACGTTCTGTTGTTCTAACAATATATTGCAGTGCACATGTTAGCAACACGGACAAACATGTAGAACATCATTAGGAACATCTATGTCTAGTGTTGTTCTACATGCTTTGTCATATAAATTCCACTAATGATGGCCCAATATATAACTGCAATGAAAGATTTTAAAAACATTTCAAATGCAATAAAAAAAAAAAAATAAGGGCACATGGCAACCCCACACTCCGGGAGCGACCCCTCTTCCAGAGTTTGCTTCGTGAGTAATAGAGATTTTATGCCATCATTGAGACTTCATCACTTCACTACCAGCAAAGGAAGTAACTTTTAACTTTAATTTTCTCATGATCAAGAATGCATTTTACCAATATTTGGAAAGCAAAATAATTTTTTTCTTGTGCATACAGGTAAAGCTTCCTGCATGCACAATGTAAGGATTAAGGAAGCAACCAAGTGGCCTGTGATCAGAAAGGAAATGACAAAACCATACGGTATCCTACCAAAGATGCCTAATGAGAATCTGTGCAAAATTAAAACCCTCCCTCCCAACCCTGGGAGCCGGTCGGCCGAGCGGACAGCACGCTGGACTTGTGATCCTGTGGTCCTGGGTTCGATCCCAGGCGCCGGCGAGAAACAATGGGCAGAGTTTCTTTCACCCTATGCCCCTGTTACCTAGCAGTAAAATAGGTACCTGGGTGTTAGTCAGCTGTCACGGGCTGCTTCCTGGGGGTGGAGGCCTGGTCGAGGACCGGGCCGCGGGGACACTAAAGCCCCGAAATCATCTCAAGATAACCTCAAGATAACCTCCCCCAGCTATCTTATAATACATTTTTGAGTAAACAGCCACAATAAATGTTCAGCATACAGTGACAAAATGTAATATTTTACATTTGCACACTTAAATAAACACTGACAGATATATAGCTTACCTTTCAGTACAGAATTATGCACATCCACACAAGGCAATATATATCCATCATTTATTTCTCAAAACAGGCTATAGTAACTAAATAAAAATGAGGTCACCCCATTATGTATTTACATACTTGACATTCATCTCGTAGGAGTCGCCAGGAGGAAAGTGAGCGAGGACAGTGGTGCCATCGAGTCCCTCCCACAGGAAGTTGTGGTGAGGGAATTTATTTACCAGACTCCAACTCAACTTCTGTGTTAAAAAGTAGTCAATGCTAAATTGCTGAAAAAAAATTAAACACCAATTAATATTTTATGGCAAATCAGACAAAAGTTTCAATATACATAAAATATTACAGATGAAAAGTCACAATAACAGTGCTGAAAAATGTTGACCAAACCACACACTAGAAATTGAAGAGATGATGACGTTTCGGTCTATCCTGGACCATTATCAAGTCGATTGTGATAATGGTCAACTTGATAATGGTTTACGATGGACCAAAATGTAGTCTCTTCAATTTCTAGTGTGTGGTTTGGTCTACATAACACATTAATATATATTAATAGAATTGGTAAAGTTAAGCTGCCAATAAAACCAGCATTGAATGTATGAAATGCCAATTTCTAGGCGAGTCCAAGAGGCTCTCTGAAGCTATCACATTGATTTGGTGCCAAACTACTAAGTGTCATCAGTCGCAGTGTTCTATTGGCCTACTGAGGACCACGAGCCAGAACCTGGCTCCCTCAGGGAGGCACAGGGAGCAATGACCTATGTTCTCTTTACATTTAATCATAATTGCCACCACCAGGGAAGGAGGAACAGAACAGACTACAGTAGCAGGCATCCATCAGTCTCGGGAGACTATGGAGTTGCACTCTGGTTGTTGATCTGGAGTGGCCTCTCCTCTCCAGACTACAGTACTGCATGGATAAAATGAAACTGTAGCTTCAAAAATGCCAAAAGAATCCTCCCCCATTACAATGAATACAAACAACCAAATTTTTTAAAAATTAGTTAGTGCAAGCTAGTTTGCCCCCCCCCCTTCCCCCACACTCATTTGGGAGGGAGGAGGGAGGCAGGCCAGGTCAGCCAGCCCGCACCACCCTCAGTTCTATGATGATGGAACATGTCGACACCCTGGGAGAGGGAGCCTCCGGGGCTCATCCAGAAATTGGCGTTTCATTACATTCAATGGTGGTTTTCTAAGGAGGGCAGCTGATGCAAAGCAGCAGAGACCATAACCTCTATTAACTCTATTAATATGGCTACGAATCATGGTTTAGATTTTTGTAGATAACTCAATGTTACAAGAAACAGTTGGAGCCTTGCTAAAGCTATTGAGGATATTTAAAGTCAAATTTTATGATTTGTTTTTATTTCATTAGCAAGGTTTTTTGTTCACTCGGATATGGCCTTGCTCCCTTTTGAAAATTAGTTTTGAGGGTGAAAATGTGAGAAATAAGCTAGATGTGATCAAATTTTTTGCAGACATTTTTATTTGGTAGTTATCTATATTATAGGTCGAAATTAAAATTTTGCAAAGTCAAATCATATACTGTACTGTATATAGGTTGAAATTAAAAATTCGCTAAGTCAAATCAGCCGTGTGCGTGAAAAATGTATCCTACAGGCTTCTCCAGTTGCAATGAATCCCTCATTGTAACGAATTGAGGTTGGCCCCCATATAGTTTGTTGAAACGAGATTGTACTGTACAGCATATGGTAATTTCTGGTAATTTGCATAATGCTTTCACTGCTACACTTCTATTGCAACCCTTTCTTGGGTCCTTATGGGGCTAGAAAAAAAATTAATTACCATTTTTGTTACAGCAATGTTTGGAAAATTAACTACTCCTGCCAATGGCACCATTAGGAAGGAAAGTTGTAAAATAATAGATCAAACGTAATAAAATGCACCTTGCTGCATGATCCCTTAATATCTTCCCGGAGCTTAGTCACTAGAACTCCAACACGTCCCCATCATAACAGGACCCCGAGATGTATGTAGAGTATGATTTGCTCAAAAAGACAAGGACGGTATGGGAATCAGAGATACTGAAAAATCAAGGTATGAAACCACTCAAAAAGTCCAGGCAAAATAAAACATGGATGAAGTTCAAGGATGCACTGAACCTTAAATGGGGGTTTGTCTCCAGTTCCTATCATATCAGTCAGAGGCAATCGTCTTCTCACCAAGTGGAAGCACCTTTTCGCGACACACAAGAACAAAGCTGACTAGAAGAGGAAAATTATGGAAGTAGTGCCGAGGCCTGACAATGAGGCTCCGCCAGTAGCCTATCCCAACTAACCACCTCTGATCAGCAGGGACAGAACCTCTCTGCAAGAGAACCTGACTTACTGAAAAAGGCAGAAGCTATGGGTGAAAGCACCATAGAAAAAGCCTCCAGGGAAAAACTAGGGACAAAAAGAGGAAGGCAGACAAAAGTGCTAGAGATCAAGCCAAATTTAAAACCTGAGCAAATATGGCATACACTGCTTGCACGATGGGGCAACAAAAAGTCTGCCAGGCAGACTTTTTGTCTGCCACAATTTCTCGAAGCAAAGGCAAAGCCGCCAAAGCCAGAACTGCAGAAACACTTGGTAATGAGGTCAAAGCATCCAGGCCACCCAGGAGCTGGTCAGAGAACAGCTCAATCACAGCCCAGATGCACAGAATGGCTGTAAATCGACCACGGATAGCATGCATTTCTGCAGCCAAGGCCACAAAGAGCCTAGGCAGTTGCCCATGGGATGGAGCACATCACTCACTACTCAAGTGCCCAGGTACAGCAAAAACTATAGGCTGGGTCCATGAGGGAAACCAAGTCCTGTACCAACAGAAGGAACTGAAAAAGACCTACTTAACCAAAGACAGAAAGAAGGAATCCTTCTGATACATGGTGTATTTGAGGACACTAACAGTATACTGGGAAGGAGCAGCAGAGGATCAAGCTCAAACATCAAAGGAAGATAGGGAAAAGGCCCTTTAACCAAGCTTAAAGAAATAGAGGACCAGGAAACCATGAAATGTTAAAGGACACCCAGGGACCCACCTCAGGCTCCTCTCCTGCCCAGGAGGCCCAACATGAAGACTCTTCAGCAGAGCCAAGTTCCATGCCTGACACATGAACAGACAGGAAGGCATCTCCAAAACTCTAAGATGATCCAATCCAAATATTTCCCTCCGGAGAAAATACGACTATAAATCCTTGGCAGGAAGCAACAACTCGACTGTCTCCAGCATCAATATGGAAGGAAGGATTCTTGGAGAAAACCGAGCTACACCCAAAGCTAATTTTAGCTAGGAATCTGAAACCCTCAAATATTCTGGTGCCTGAAGCAAGGGAGGGTGGGTGCAAGGGGTATGGCTAACCATGCAAGATGGACAAATGAAGGAACAGCAGCAAAAACAGCAGCAATATAAACCACCAATTCCAAAACCTCAGACACATAAGTGGGCCAACTCTAGGTCACGTGCAAATGATCCCAAAGTGGTCACCACCTGTGGAGCCTCGTCAATACAATATAAAATAAACAAAAACCAAAAGACGGAGGCTTTAACTGAAATAAAGGGACAGTGAATCCAAACATCTCAGGTCTGGGATAGAGGGGCAATACCCACTCAACAGACAGCAGTGAGAGAAGGTACAAATGAGCATTTGTTTATAGGAATACCAAAGGACATCCCTCAAACTAACGAGTAGTGAGAGCGATGGGCTTAGCAGTGAACTATAATGAACTACATCAAAGACCTGACTTGCCATGGCCTGAAGCAGACCACCCAACCCCTAGGGATGCTTGCTAAAAGAACTGACACCAAAAGCAGCCTTCAGGATAAAAGTGGGAACAAAGGGTATCAGCAATGCACCGTATGGACAAACACGTAAACCCCTTAATTAACAAACCTCAGAGACTTGCCGAGGAGTCAGTGACTCTTGCAGTGTAAACGACAAGTCACCCTGCACAGTAGGCCTGCCTCCATGGAACAAACTCTTGAACCCATCAGAGAAAGCACTCTACTGTCAGAGCAGAGACATCACTAAACGAGTGGTTCGGGAAGGGCTGCCTAAGCTCGTGAACTTAAAGTGAACGGTTTCCAAAGTCCACACAAGAAGTGAGGCTTATAAAGATATGCACATGAAGCTGACACTAAAAATTGAACAATACCAAACAAATGGCTCCAGCAACAGGACAAAGTCCTAAGGATACCCAACAACTATCAAAATTAAGTTGGGAGTTGCTAAGGCTGGCAACTCAAGGAGTGGTCCATGCAGGTGGACATCAGTGAAAGGACCGAGGTGTGTTGACATGGCAGCCAGCAGCTCCCAATGGTGCTGCCACCTAGCAGTGGTCAGCTGTAACTAAAAGGAGTTCAAACTGACTAATGATTGGATATGTTATAGAGTAATTTGTTTGCAGTGGTTTGTTTTGCTTCACATACTTCCTGATGTTTCCTTGGTAAGGGTAATTGTAACAATCTTCTGCTCCATGTGCCTCTTTGAGTGGGCCAGGTTCTGGTTCTGGTCTCCAGTAAGGTATTAAGGACTCCTAGGGTTGATGTGAATCATGTGTGTGAAGCTGTCTTAGTGCTAGTTTCAGGGACTCCCAAAGACAAAAAAAGGCTCCAGAAAAAAAAACTGAAAATCCAGGCACTTGGCAAAATAAATATGGTCTCAAGAGACACCAGCTGATAGTGAGGCAACTGGTGATAGCATGCAGAGCCAAGCAGTGGCAGGCTGTTAGTTATTTACGCTGATTTTTCATTTTTGTTTGGTACCGATTCATTCCAAACATTTCTCTGTGTTAAGATCTTGTTACTCTCTTTTAGCTACTCTGGTACTGTACTTTGACGAGTTTGTTTTGTCTCTCGACTTTATTTGCAGGGTTCACCCTCAATGTGTGGCATCTTATGACACACTTGGTATCCTGGCCTCTGTGAGGGGATGTGGGAGCTTGGTCCCTGCTCCAACAGGCTGTAAAATGGCTATAGACATCTGGTGAGATGGGATTGACAGTAGGTTACCAGTGCATAAGAACCTGCTAAAGGGGATCACCCCAGAACCATAGCAATACCCCTTTGTGGTACTATGTTCCAGCAGCATTAAAGTTACAGTTCTTTGCCTGTGGTAACGATCATTTGCCGAGGTTGCCACAGATTTTCTTATTTTCTTCACTCACTAGCTAACCTTCTGGCAGGGTTTTCTTGGTTTTGAGAAGATTCTGGTCCAGGCTTCCAATAGGTTTACATGGGTCTTTTGCACTTCTTAATTTAAAGCTGGGCTATACCAGCACAGAGCTACAGGGAGATATTGAGGCGGCCTTCCAGTAAATAAAGGAACTCTAGCAATCAGCTTTTTTGGGGCCAATTGTTTCAAGATTCTACTTTCACTTCCTGTTGTATTATACAGACATAAGGATTATACTGCCCATTAACAACTGGAAGCTTCATTGTTTGACCACATATAAGGGTTATAAGTTTCATATAATGTGAAGCTGCATTCTCCAAATATATATCAGAAAACAGGCAAATGTTATTTAAAATAAAAACCTAATTTAATACACATCAAAGTGATAAAAAAAATAGTTTGAAGAGCTTCTGACCTTACATATCTGAGGGAACTGGGCAGAATAGCCAAAAGTGTCAGGCAGCCAAAATTCTTTGCACAGGATTCCAAACTCCTTTTGGAAGAACAACTGTCCATACAGGAATTGGCGCATAAATGATTCCCCACTGGAAATAAAAATGAGCTAAGTATCGTAATGCAAAACAAGAATGTGGAAAAGTAACTTCTGTGTAGAACTAAAAATACTTTACTGTGAGAGATTCCCTTGGTGGCTCCACAAGCTAACCCACGTGAAACCTTCCAAACCTCGGGTACCACACCAAGTCTTAACCAATCAGCCGGTCGGAGTTGGTCGGCCGAGCGGACAGCACGCTGGACTTGTGATCCTTTGGTCCTGGGTTCGATCATAGGCGCCGGCGAGAAACAATGGGCAGAATTTCTTTCACCCTATGCCCCTGTTACCTAGCAGTAAAATAGGTACCTGGGTGTTAGTCAGCTGTCACAGGCTGCTTCCTGGGGGATGGAGGCCTGGTCGAGGACCGGGCCGCGGGGACACTAAAGCCCCGAAATCACCTCAAGATAACCTCAAGAAGATCATGGGAGTTGAACCAAAATTTGGCCCCCCCGTCAATAGAGGCATGGGGGAGGGGGGGGGGTCTGGGGATACAAGATCACAACAGTACCAAAGGAAAGACTACCAGAAAAGAAGACACCAAAACAAACAACTGCATGGATAACACCTGCAACCCTGATGCAAACTATGTACAAAGTTTGTTTTATCTGACAGCTGGTTAGTACCACTCCCACCAACATTGACACGAGCATCAATGGCTCCAAGCAGCCTGAATATAGCATAATCCCAAGTACAACTATCTCTAATCTAGGCCTAGAGAAAGCAACCCTTACAGAGGCTCCAGCAACCACCCCCCCCCCCCAGCCTCAGAGAAAGAATTTTCGCGGGCTGAAACTACCCCAAGGGATGCCACCAGGAGAGGGAACGATGAGGCGAGGCACACACCTTAGGGTGGCCTGGACCTACGGGAAATAGAGAGACAAGAGGTGGCCAAAAAGTAAACAAGCCAGCACAACCCAGAGCCCAATGTCCAAGATGAAAGCAGCGGGGCACCTGAGCCCGACCAGGGCTGCAAAGCAACAGCAAGCCCTGCCAGCAAAGCAGGCCTGGTCACCGGTAGATGCTCATAATTCATTAGAGCCTGATAGTGTACCCAAGGTTTGGAGGTTACACGGTAGGTTGCTTGGGAAGCCACCGAGAAAAGCCCTTTTAGAAAAGCCAAACTCTAAGCAATAAGAAAATGAGCAAGTGTCTTCAAGGAAAAGAATGTGATCATCAAACTTTACAAATCCCATGTGTGCCCCCACCTGAAATGTTGTACCCAAACATTGAAATCTTACCTACAAAAAGACATTATCATTGGTAAATGTTTAGTTCAGAGCAAAATTACACCATTGTTATATCAACCCTCATACTAAGAAAGGGCTGTTAACTCTGAAATAAAAATTCGGCAAATAAGACAACAACAACATGATTAATCACGTCAAAACTTAAAATACTAAACAAGTTTGAAGATGTTAAACCAAACCACGATTTGGGAAGGTTGGACACGTTTCACACAAGGAGCAACAGATTCATGCTCACCAACCACCATTATAGGACAAACAAAGATGGATGCATAATCATACACGGGGTAATGAACCATGGAATTCCCTCCCCACTGAAGCCATAAATACTAAGACAATGCTATAATTCAAAATACAGCAGAAAAAATCTTGAGGATGATTGGGAGGAACCGTCGTAAAACCACCAATTTTGTGTCTCAAAGTCAGTAGAGATGAAGCCCTGGGCACCATGAACAACTTAGTCAGATTCCTCTTCCTTAGCCAGAAGAGGAGCTTCATAAACCATGGGTTTGAAAGCGGCATGACAAACATGGCCGGTAAAATAATAAATAAAACATTTGAATATAAAACCCAAGCTTAGCGGAGTGGTTATACGTACCTAGGGATCAAGCCATCCATTTCAACCCAGGTTCCACCAACCGGAATGAAGCTCCCTGCTGAAACTTGAGATTGGATCTTCTTAAATACTGCTGGATAATGATTCTTAATCCATGAAAATTGCTGAGCCTATAAAAGAAGAAACTAGTTATCCAAAAGGCAAATAAGAGAAATTTTTTTTCCATAATGTATAAATTATCTATATATTTATATCCATGTTTTTTGTGGTGAACATTGACTGTAGGGTATATTATATTACATTTTACCATTTGTTAGGCAGCATAATGCAGCCAGGTTTTGAAGTGTTACCACTGTTATCAATAGATGATGCTGAAACTCAAAGTATCCACATGAAACACTGAACTGTAATGCCAATCCTGACCTTAAAAGCTTCATTGAAGGTTGTAACAGAACCCATGAGCACCACACCAGAAACAAATACTTTTTTGATATTCCAAGAGTACGACTTAATCAAACTAGAAATGCTCTACAAATCAAGGGACCCAGAAAGTGGAATGACCTTCCCAATCATGTTAAAGACTGTACTTATCTTAACCAGTTTAAGACAAAAACTAAGCACTACCTAATTAACTCCCTGTAACCTACCTTACCCCTATAATGTCAACCCATGTCTGTTATTTTTAAACAATGCTGCTTGTCGACTAAATTATATTTTTGCTGTTTTCCTGCCATGTTCCCCCCTTTTTTATTTTTTATTTTTCTCATCACATTTTATACTTTAATCTCAATTAGTATTAAGTTTTAGTCTTTAGTGTTTTTCTCCCCGAAACGCTTTGCGTAATAGTGGCTTTAGGCATTGTATGTACTAGCTCTATCTATAAATCCATCAAAATCTGTATCATCCCTTGTATGTATGAGCTTTACCTAAATAAACATTTGATTTGATTTGATTTGATTACTGAAAATACACAATACTGAGTGCAATAATATACTGTACCTCCTTTCCGAGTGGCATCTTGTTAGTTCCTTTATGGCTTGGAACTGAACCTACCTACATTACATCACACAGGTGTAATTCAAGCCTTTGCTCAAGCTTATTAGTAAGCCAGCATCAGCAGAGTACCAGAAAGCTGTCCCTGTCAGCCTGGGAACCAAAACCTCAGGACAACAAAAAGGAACAAGAGTGTCTTTTTGGAAGTCCCCTAAACATTGACTTGGTGTTTTTGTCTTTAAATATAGGAAGAGAGCCAACCACAAAACAATGCAATCAACCCAAGCCAGGAAACGGGAGCAAAAATAATAGTCACAAGCAAATAGTCAAAGTGTCTCTGACTCCCCCAAATAATATAGTAGTCACTTTCAAAAGATTATACAATGGGGAGCAGGGAAGGGTACGCTGACATTCCCTTACCTCACCGGGAGCATCCACCATAGAGCTGACAAGAACAGCCTTGCCAAGATCTCCCAACACTGGATAAGTAAAGATACTGTACCATACTGCCCAAAGGTAGCAAGAGGCAGGAGAGTCGAATGCTTTCAGAAAGAATTGTAACGCCAGAACCACCAATGTAGGACCTCAATAATCCAATTTCCAATAATCCGAATCTTCCGGGAGCCCAAATGAAATCGCATTCAAGTTCTTGACTTTTTAACCAGAATAGGAATTTGGGTTAAAACATTATATGCATCATTTTTCAAGTAAACAGCAATACAAAAACTGACAAATTTAATCAGTTTTGGACATGCCTAGTAAGAAATTTGGCAGTCAAATGGGTGAGGGGCCCCACATGATTCGGATTACGAAGTACAGACACTACCTCTATCAAGAATCCAAGGAATAACAACCCACTCATGTTTCCCACAAAGTGGAAGGGATTTCAGCCAAAATACCTGAGAGGAGGACAGAAATGCTATAGGACAGTTAAGACAGTAACAAAGAGCACATCGAGGTGGAGCTGAAGGACCTGCCAGAAAGGTGCATTTCATTACATTCAACACTTGATTTTTATGACAAAAAATAAGTGGTCACTCTTACTCAATAGTTAATAAGTAAATTCCTGTTGGAGAAAGTAGATTCCACTGAAATGCATTTTGAATAATCAATTACTGCCTAATTATTTTTTAAATAATTATAAATTTTAATTTGATTGTAGTTTCAATGTTATATTTATCTCTGATGTAAAACCAAATAAGCTGAAGATTTGCCTATGATCTCTCATTTTTCCAGCAATCCTCAACTTATCAACCATCATCCATAAAACTGGATGATGGTTGATAACTTGAACTTAATTGGACTTCATCAAAACCATACATAGATTTGGATACTGTAATTAGGTACAGATAATCAAGTCTCTTTAATTCTATTAAAGAACAGAGGTGCTAACTGGAGATGTTTATTAATTTACACAACACGGTGCCACAAATGTGCTGACTTAAGATAAGATTTGCCACGATGCTTAAGATCAAGGTGACATCAGAGTCCTATATGAAGAAAACAATCGTATTCTTATGTTTCATCTTATTCTTGTCTTCATCTTTCTTTTTCATCTCACTCTCTTTCCATTACATCACTTGATAATTTATCAAGAGGCAGTCGGCCGAGCGGACAGCACACTGGACTTGTGATCCTGTGGTCCCGGGTTCGGTCCCGGGCGCCGGCGAGAAACAATGGGTAGACTTTCTTTCACCCTACCTTGAGGTTACCTTGAGGTGCTTCCGGGGCTTAGCGTCCCCGCGGCCCGGTCGTCGACCAGGCCTCCTGGTTGCCGGACTGATCAACCAGGCTGTTGGACGCGGCTGCTCGCAGCCTGACGTACGAGTCACAGCCTGGTTGATCAGGTATCCTTTGGAGGTGCTTATCCAGTTCTCTCTTGAACACTGTGAGGGGTCGGCCAGTTATGCCCCTTATGTGTAGTGGAAGCGTGTTGAACAGTCTCGGACCTCTGATGTTGATAGAGTTCTCTCTCAGAGTACCAGTTGCACCTCTGTTTTTCAACGGGGGTATTCTGCACATCCTGCCATGTCTTCTGGTCTCATGTGATGTTATTTCTGTGTGCAGGTTTGGGACCAGCCCCTCTAATATTTTCCACGTGTAAATTATTATGTACCTCTCCCGCCTGCGCTCAAGGGAGTACAGTTTTAGGCTCTTTAGTCGGTCCCAATAGTTTAGATGTTTTACTGAGTGGATTCTAGCAGTATGCCCCTGTCACTTAGCAGTAAAATAGGTACCTGGGTGTTAGTAAGCTGTCATGGGCTGCTTCCTGGGGGTGGAGGCCTGGTCGAGGACCGGACCGCGGGGGACACTAAAGCCCCGAAATCATCTCAAGATAACCTCAAGATAAGAAGATAATGGTCCAGGAAGGAAGGATCGAAACATTGTCGTTTCTTCATTTTCTAAAGCGTAGTTTGACTATCAATGTCCTAGCACTTAAAAAGCAGTTACAACATTACTGTAAAACATTAGAACACATGCTCTTGTTCTTATATAAATGGCTCACAATTACCTAAATTAAACACATACCTGCGAACAGGCAAATTTCATTTCAGGATACTCTTCTATTAGAGCCAAAGTTGATACCCAGGACCGAGCACACTTCCTCTTTGCCTCAGAATAGGGCCACAGCCATGCAGAGTCAATGTGGCAATTGCCAATGAGTGCCAGTGTGTGGGCCCTGGCACCATTACCATTTGAGAAAAACGTATCTGCAATCTTGCTAGCTAAACTGAAAATATAAAGCAGTAAAAATTAACAAAATGCAACAAAATATGACATTAATTAAGAGTGCTTGTCATGTCTATGGAGTTGAGCATTTAATCTATCGCTTTTAATCTTTTAAACTAAGCATTTAATTGTTGCCGGGTGTTACATCACTTGGTAACAATTTACAACAAAAACATGACAAAACTGTATGGGAAGGTATTTTACCCAATCAACCTGGCTGTGATTCATAAGTCAGGCTACGAGCAGCCGTGTCCAACAGCCTGGTTGACCAGACGACCTGGTCAGAGGCTGACCAGGGAGACCTGGTCAGAGGCTGGGCCGCAGAGCCGTTGATCCCCAGAAGCTACACTAGATACAAGGTAGGTATTCCCCACCCCCCCTCCTTCAAGAGCACAATACCTTATAATTAAAGCATGCAAAGCTTTACCTAAAATCCTTCTTCACAATTTAACACTTTCGCGTTCCACAGACTTAATAAGTCGTCACTCTTTTTTCTACTGAATGTGTTCCAGTGACGCATTTTTGCGTCACTCGATATAAAAATTTGTAAAAAAAAAAGTTTCTATGCGATCTTCAATTTTTTTTTTTTGAAATGAGCGCCATTGTTTTCCCACAATCCTCCGTAGGCCGCATGGGATTCTGGGTCACGCCATGCGGTCGGCCTAGTCCTTTGTTTACGTCTCTCGTGACCGGACTACCGCGCTCCCGCGTCCAGAACCTGTGCCACTCTCTGCCCTGTGTAGCAGTGTTTATTCGTTCCTGTCTCCTTACAACGCATTATTACTTGCAAACATGGATCGTGGTAAAGGACAGAGCACCTCTACCCCCAAGAAGGATAGTGAAATGACCAAGGAAGATAAGTTGAGTGAGCTGTACAAAAGGTTCAGCAATGTGAAGCTTACCCCTAGTAAAATTCCTGATTTGTTGGATCGTTTGTCAGATGTGGAGGCAGATGCTGAAGGGGAAGAGCGTCAGAGTGATTTCAGTAGTGATAATGAGGGGACAGCGTCGTCTGATGAGTTTGATTCATCATCGAGTGAGGAGAGTAGCGAGGGGATTGAGGATGAGTCAGCGGATGTGGGCCGCCCCAAGGCACCTGTAAGGAGGCGTGCAGGACGTCTTCAACAGCCTAATCCCGATGCTGCCTGGTCAACTGACAATACACCACCTATTGTAGGCAGTTTCAGTGCCACACCAGGCATAACTGTCCCAGTGCCAATTACCCCCCTGCAATTTATTCAATTATTTCTGACCCGTGCCCTAATTGAGTTCATCACAGTGGAAACTAACAGGTATGCCAGGCAGTTTATTCAGAATGCTTCCAGGCGCACTATGAGGTTGTGGAAGGAGGTATCTGCGAAGGAAATGGCAAGGTATTTGGCTTTATCAATCTTGATGGGTATTGCACGACTCCCAACAATGCGCATGTACTGGCAAACAAGCCGGTTGTGGCATATGAGGACCTTCAATGTGTTCATGACTGCAAAACGATTCCAACATATTGCCCAGTTTTTTCATACTTATAACCAGTTTGCAATTCCACCCAACAACAAGAACCGCATGATAAAACTCAGCACCATCATTACCTATTTGACCAACAAATTTGGCTCTTACTACGTCCCCAATCAAGCACTCAGTTTGGATGAAGGTACAATGTCGTGGCGTGGTCGTCTATCCTTCAAGGTTTACAACCCCAATAAGCCTGATAAGTATGGGGTAAAGTTGTACATGCTTGCTGAGGCAGGGACTGGTTATATTATTGATTTCGAGGTTTATTCTGGAGTGGGCAAGACAACAGTTGAGACAGTGATGGGCCTTATGCGACCCTTGTTGAACAAAGGTTATCATCTTTATATGGACAATTATTATAACTCTGTCCATCTCACAGAATTGCTAAGGGAAAATGGGGTGTACACTTGTGGAACACTCAGATTGCAGCGTGGTGCCCCTAAAGAGCTGCAAAAACTTGCCAAAGGTAAATTCGCTGTTGATCAGACTATTTTCAGGCGCAAGGATAACACTTTTGTTATCCTTTGGAAAGACAAGAGAGTGGTGTCAGTGATCACAAACTGCCATAATGCTGACACACAGGAAGTACAGAGAAGGAAGAGAGTGAAGAAACGTGACGGAACATCATCTGTTCAGATTGTAACTGTAAACAAACCAACAGCCATTTGCGACTACAACAACAACATGAAGGGAGTTGATCACTTCGACCAAATGGTCAAATATTACAGGTTCACCAGGAAGTCGCATAAGTGGACTAAGAAGATCACATTTTACTTCCTTCAGATGGCTTTACACAATGCCTATGTGTTGTACAAGATGTACACAACTGATGCCAAGAAACTGACCCTACTCCAGTTTCATGAAGTAGCAATATGGGCCCTGTTGGGGTGGGACATGGATGAGTGGCCTGCTACTGAAAGCCCTCTCCCACATGCTGATGATTACCAGGATCCTTCTCATGATTTGGCAACACCTGGCCCATCTGGAGCGAGGCGTCCTTTATTTCATCGTCTTCCACGCCAACCACATGCCTCATCCTCATCAGACACTGAACCTGAAACTGAAACGCCTGCACCTCAAGCTGAAGCTACTCCTCCACCTGTGAAAAACCCCCGCATTGTTGATTCAGAGGACAGGCTAAACAGGAAGTTGACTCATGCATTAGTGAAAATTGCTAAACGGAAACGGTGCCGAGTTTGTATCAAGTCGGGAATTAGAAAAGACTGTATGTATCAGTGCAGGACATGTGGAGTTGCTCTATGTGCCACACCATGCTACTCAAAATATCACCGCAAGAGGATATTTTGGAAAGCAAAGAAATAACTCCTCTGCAAGCTTCCACTCCACCTAACGTAACATCTGTTGAGCAACTTCAGGGACATTTTCCTGAAGCCGGTGGAGTGGATAATCAAATGCTCAACTTGTTGACCTTCCTTCATCACATCGTGGGTAAGTACACATAATTTATATTACACATTTTGAGGTTATTACTTCTTCATACTTTGCTGTGGGTAGCTCTATATATATTCCAGTTCTTAGTGCTCAGATTGGTATGTCTACATAGTGCATCTTCTTGCGAGTATTTTGACACCAAAATGAACAATGTAGCACAAAAACTTCCATTGGAACAATATTTTTGTTTGTCGGGTGTATTGGGTGTACCGGGCGTGGAAACGGGTGTTTGGGCGGGTGAGGCATCGACGTGTTTGGGGGTGTTTGGGGGTGAGGCGCGCACGTGTAACCCACTTTTATGCATATGTCTGTGTAGGCAATTTTATTGCGATCACCGTGATACCAAACAAAACCATATGCAACAAGTTTTGACTTGATAAACACAATCAGAGTAGCAACATATAGGGAGAGTTTAGCGGAGTTTAGCGTGAGCGCGAAACAAAGCACGCAGTTCTTTGGTTGCTGGTCGCCTAATGTTAGCTTTGGTGAAATGTTATACATATGTTCTTATAGTACATTTCATTAGCTACACAGTGATACCAAAAAAAAACACGTACATCGAAAATGAGGGTCACAGACATGAGGAGAGTATAAACTTTTCAGTTGTGGTTGAGCGCATGTGCAGCTGGGCGCGCTCCGGCGGGTAACCCTAAGCCAACTTCCCACATTCCTGTGGGTGGGGCGACACCATTATTTATTGTGTATATTTATATGTCCGTGTAGGGAATTTTATTGCGGTCACAATGATACCAAAATAAACCACGAATAATAATTCTGGGGTTCGCAAACATAAAAACATCGTAAACATTGATGCCCGGTTTTACGCTCACAGCTAACGACCGCCACAGTTTGTTATTCGGTGTGGTTCTCATGTTGTCTTTGGTGACATTTTATATATATATTCCTCTAGAGCATTCTCTCGCGAACACAATGATACCAAATTTAAATACATGCCGCCAAAATTAAGCTCCCCACCCCGAAAAGATTATAAACATTTTAGTGCTGACGCGCAGTAGGCCGACACGAACGGCCCACTTAGGGCTTACCGTCAGCCTATTCCCAGGGAGCGCGAAAGTGTTAACTATGAGGTGAGAAAAGCTTGTGGATCAAAGATCAACCCAAAGCCAACAACCAGCAAGCTTCTGCATATCATGGGAACTGAACCACCCTCGGGACGACCTGGAAGAGATGGGCCTTGGACCAAGAAATGTAGGAGACTGGATTAACAAAGTGTCAACCCACACAGCACGAGTAGTATGCAAATAGTATTAAACAACAGCCACAGGAGTATAATACACTCCAGGCCGGATGAACCCCAAGTCGATAACTTCAAAACCCACCTGGAGGACAGACCTCTCATTCTGAACCTAAAATGTAGAAGGTTGGAGGTATACATAATGAAGAATAGGCCTAAAAAAAAAACAGAAACCATGCCTCCAGAAAAAGAGTGTGAAGTTCCCCAACCTGGCAGCAGGAACAAGAACCACAAGTAAAGCCACCTCAAAAATTAATCGTCAGTCAATGGAAGACAAGGACGAAACCTGAAAGTGAGGAAAACAAATGACAAGACTATCCAGTGGGAATGTGCCAATGTGAGACAAGGAATGTACAGGTTAAGAACAAGCAGGTCCAGTATGAAGAGAGGGAACAGGGAAGAAGTAAGACAACCACTGCAAGGACAGGGTCATCATAAGCACGCCCTTGTCCAACATATCGCGAATGGCATTGTGGAGTAGAGTAAAAGACGGTTAGTAAGTTCCCAAGACACCGGCAAGGGTAAGCGACCAAACTCACCAAGAACAGCGAGGCAAAAGATGGGCCCTGTCAAAGGATCAGTGATTCCTATGCTGTGACAGTGAGTGCAGGTGGCAGGCTGACTGAGTCCCACAGGTAACCTGAGTTGAGGATTGGTGATAGCCAGGAATCAGAATAAAGGGCATTTAATCTGTGGCAATGATCATTTCCTTCGTTACTTCTAGGTACCTAATTTTCTTCAAGCAGTTGCTTCTGGTGGGGCTTTTCTCAATTTTCAGTTGAGTTTTTGGTGGATATAAATAGGCACTGCCTCATATGGGCCAATAGGCCTTTTGCAGTCACCTTCATTCTTATGCTCTCTGATCCTCAAGCTCACCTTACCTCAGAGAGAGAACCATATTCTGATCCTGGCTCCTGGTAGACAATGGTAGGTCTCAGAGACCTGGTGCCTTTTCCTAATTTTTGGCTGTACCAACACTTAGTTTGGGACGCTACTTCAGGGCTCTCCCAGAAAAAAAGGACAGTAATTTGGCCTGGGGGGGGGGGGTTAAAGGGCATGAATAAAAGCCAAACTTATATGAATACACTCCAGTTTCTGTCCCCGGACACATTGAATTATTCAATGGTGTCTAATTTATCAACACATTTGATATTCTGAATTAAACATGATCACAACCATTAAACACTTATAGAATTTACAGTTTTATAATGTAGTAATTTATCACCAGTCAAATTTAACACCAATAGAGTGTCAGAGACAAAATATACACACACTTACAGATCAAGCCTTTTTTTCCAGCACCGAACATATTATTACAGGACATCTCAATGTAGTACACAAGTGTTTCCTTGGAGCCGTTCCAACAGCGGCTGATTGGGTAATCAGCTCTCTTCTGATTTGGAAGGCCTCCCCCACCAGGTGATAAACCCTGAATAATTTGTTCAAGTTTATTAAATTGTCTAAGCATATAATCTTATAAAACAAATTATACTGCAACCTCAAAAATCCAGATTATATCATTCTGGATCTAATCCAGATTTACGAAGGTATCAATGTTTTTGTATCACTTCTCTTCCACCACCGATTCCATTTTATTCACAAAATACAGCTTCTGCTTCCAATACAATTTTCACATCAAAAATGCACAACAGTAGTATGAACGCCATGCTCCTTTGCCAGCCACAATCGAGTTTTCTAATAACTCGGCCTTATTATTCATAGTAAGGAAGTTCCTCTTGCTTTTCTCTAATGCACCCCCACTACTCCTGCCCCGTGACATGGCTTCAACTCGTAAATAATAATATATAAAAAGGAGAGAGAGAAAATGATGAGTAACTAGAGGTCAGACAGTGCTCACATACAAGGAAAGCACAGTACATGTGTTTTACACATGTTTTATACATGCCCTCACAGTGGGTCAGGATGCCACAGAAAAGATGCCACAAACTTGTTTGAATAATTTATGGATTTGTATAATATTGGGGAAAAAATCAGTAGGAACCGTGTGGAGGATTTGAACCTATGCTCTGTGTACACCCAAGCAAGCGCCTTAGACCACTACATCACGATATGGTCAAAAGAACTGTAACCTGGGATTCGACCGAATCTTCTAGGGTTCTTGAGGCTTCCACTGAAGCCAAACCAGGATTTCACATAATTCTGTCATGCATTCTGGTTGTGTGAAACCCTGGTTTGGCTTCAGTGGAAGCCTCAAGAACCCTAGAGGAGTCAGTTGAATCCCAGGTTACAATTCTTTTGACCATGTCATAGTGTAGTGGTCTATGGCATGTGCTTGGGTGTACACAGAGAATAGGTTCGAATCCTCATCACGGCTAATACTGATTTTCTCATTGATACATCACATTAATGTGATTTCATTGTACAGTACTGTACATAAAATATTGCATAAAGATTAGCAAAAAATTAGGAACAAATGATGTGATGGAAATTACAATCTAGATTTCAATGCAACCTACCAGCAGAACTCAGTTTTTATCCAAGAAATCTAAATTTTTAAAGGAAAATGTGGTTATCTTCTTCTTGAGGTTATCTTGAGATGATTTCGGGGCTTTAGTGTCCCCGCGGCCCGGTCCTCGACTAGGCCTCCACCCCCAGGAAGCAGCCGGTGACAGATGACTAACACCCAGGTACCTATTTTACTGCTAGGTAACAGGGGCACAGGGTGAAAGAAACTCTGCCCATTGTTTCTCGCCGGCCCCTGGGATCGAACACAGGATCACAATTCCAGTGTGCTGTCCGCTCGGCCGACCGGCTTCGCACATTTGGTGGGCACATTTGTTTCATAATTTAGAGGGATATGTTCAATGGAGGTCCAGATTTTCAAGGCTGCAGTTTACTCAAGTGTTTTAATACAGTACATAATTCATTGCTAGAAACTGCATACCTTTCCAGAAAACTTAATACTTGCAAGTAGGTTTCATAAAATAATATGTTAAGAGAGAGAAAATATGGTACAAGTAGCAAGAATACAGAGTACATGCCTGCAATGGTTCACCATTCATACTCCACAGCATTGCCTCTGCTTCGCTATTCCATAACAACCAAGTCTGTTGTCCCTTCCAAGATTCAGGTATGGTTACTTCAATCTGAAATTTGTCAAGTTAAATGACCTGTTAATTTTCCAAGAAAAAGTGTATTTTCACTAGAAAAAATTAATCTAGTACTGTACTATATGTGTCTACTTTGTGACAATCTTGAGAAATTTTAATTCCCTACAAAACAAGATATGCTCTGATTTTAAACAATTACGGGCGGCAAACTGGTCCCCCATGTTTGGCATAATCGACTGTACACATTTCTGGTGTACTGTACCTCCATCTGGGCTACCGAGTCCAAGCATGAAGACCTCACCACCAAAACTGGCATATCTGCCTTTGGAGAAAGTTCAACAGAGAGCAACAAGCAGTCCCATAACTAACGTCAGCTCTCATACCAGGAATGGTTGACGGCCACTGAACTAACACTACAAACAAGACATGACGGGGCTGATCCCATTGACACCTTTAATATACCGTACTGAACAAGTTGGAGGATATTAATCCAGACCATTTACTTAAAAGGTAAATATAGAACATACTGGGAGCACCAGCTTGTAGCTTAACATGCCAGGTATGTGTTATATACTTGGCTTGGGCAAGAAAAAATTCTTGCCCAACCACTTGGGCTGAACTGTATAGCGACAGTCTTGCTTCGTGCAATTCAGCGTTCAATTCCCGACCGTCCAAGTGGTTGGGCACCATTCCTTCTCCTGATCCCTTCCAAGTGTTATATAATTATAATGGCTTGGTGCTTTCTCCCAATAATTCCCTTCCCCTTCCCTTAACAAGCCACAATGTAGGCAAATAAACAGAAGATGCTTTTCACCTACAGGGTTTTAAACCCATGGCATTTATGCTGCAACATTAAATGACAGGTCATTACTTAAGTACAAAATCCAGACAGAAAACATCTTCAGGAACAAAAGGAAGGACCTTTGACAAGCCATTGGCTTCCTTTCCCCATCAAGGCCACTAAGAAAGGTGTGGCCTTCAGGCAAATTCAAGTTTTCCCGACTGCCTGTCTACCTGTCGACCTTAATATCCCCAGCTGTTATTGAGAAGTGCATGCCGTCGTGCTCTTTCACCTCCCAAGAAGAAAAACATGCATCGGTGTTTGAAAGCCACCAGGGGTCTGATTTACATTCTTGCTTAGTGGTTATGCTTTAGTGGTTAGGGAGGCGGTCGGCCGAGCGGACAGCACGCTGGACTTGTGATCCTGTGGTCCTGGGTTCGATCCCAGGCGCCGACGAGAAACAATGGGCAGAGTTTCTTTCACCCTATGCCCCTGTTACCTAGCAGTAAAATAGGTACCTGGGTGTTAGTCAGCTGTCATGGGCTGCTTCCTGGGGGTGGAGGCCTGGTCGAGGACCGGGCCGCAGGGACACTAAGCCCCCCGAAATCATCTCAAGATAACCTCTCAAGATGCTGAGGAAGGTTTTAAGGTAACACCCATGTTCATCAGCCACTCGATGACCAGTCCGTCCATCTAAGGTTTCCCAACGCCGACAAACTGTCATACTAAAGTACCCTTATCCTATCTATAAGAGGACCCAAAATAGAAAACAGGACTGTATGTTAATTTCACAAGCTACTACCATTTTCTAGTACAACGATTTTTCGCCTTGGGTAACATATACTGTACGTCAAAATGTGAGGCTTTATTAGAAGGACGGGTTGTGATGACACCATGAGCATGGAAGGCGCATTCAAAGTAGCATTTTCTTGTTATTAAGGCAAACAAAAAAGCATAGCTGAGAATTAAAACAGCCTATGACATTTACCTCCTGAAGAAGCAATGTTCCTTACACAAAACATAACATCACTGACTCAACCAATGAGTCAAAATGTCATTCCAAATGTCAAGCTCTACTGCCTGGTGCAGGTACTATTCAAATGCCAGTTTACCTGACAGAAGCCTCACCACCAGAATTTAGAAAGTGGGCACCAATAACATCATGGTTTGCCTGGATCTCTTTACTCAACATGTTGGAGTTTTTTACTGTAGTTCTGTAGTAACGAGATTTGTTGTCGATACAATTTCCTGCTATAAAGAACTTCAAGGAGGAGGGTGTCACAACCTAGCCAATCTTTTCACATTAACCTATATCATCTTTCCCAACATGTTTATCTTTTATATTATTGTTTAAGTAACCAAATAAACTCCTAAAATGCTGGTTGTAATAAACAACGACGTCGAGTATGCATCTCCATTTGGACTCTGCTATAGTGACCTTTACAATGCTGATTAAGTTAGCACTCCAGTTTCTTAGAATGCATCCCCCAACATTAAATGTGGTATGCACATATATAGGCATAATAAGACTAGAACTATGCTATGCAACTTACTACAGTATTACCAGAATACAGTACAGTATACACCATAAGACAAATTGCTTCAAGTTCTTGTCTTTACTGCAAGCATTTAAATTCTTTACCTGGTTGATACCTGGTTGATGGGGTTCTGGGAGTTCTTCTACTCCCCAAGCCCGGCCCGAGGCCAGGCTTTGCATTTGTCAATACAAATTCTTGTACATCAATCATGGTACAACACTTACATAGTCATGATAGGCCTAAATAAAATGCCTACTGGTCACTGCAGCATGCACTCCCTTCAGTACTAAGGCATCTAAGACAATGAAAGAACCGGGTGGATTATAAGAGATACTTTACAATAAAACTGACTGTAAATACTACCATGTCAGGAAACTATAATATATGTTCAGAAACCAGATCCACAGCCATCAAGTTGTCTACTCCTTTAATGAAATACTATAATGGGCATGCAGCTGAGGCGGTGGCAGAGAGAGGTCAGAGAAGGCAAGAAACATTCAGATCCCTCACTAAAGCATCTGAAATGCACAACAAAAACACAAGACGAGAATACAAACCTTAAACCAGTGAGTGCTCCACAAGGGCCCGTACGATTCCCCAATCGTAACAGGTTGAAAATCCTGAGTGATCACCCGCTCAAATGACCACTGCTCCCATGTACCCTCTCCACCAGGGACACACCAGTGAGATAAGTCTGAAACTCACAACTATAAATTTGAAACTACATTCAATAAATTAGTTAAGTAATAAAATCATGAAAGATGTGTAGAGAAAATCTAATTATAATTTTTATGGCTAGCAAGCATCACTATTGTGGTCAAATATACTTATCTCCTGAACAGATATTTCTTTAATATAGCAGCAACACTTTATTAAATATAACAACATTATCAGTTAAGCAAACATTGCAAGGCTGACAGGATATCTTATCTCTTTACTGACAACTGGGACAACTTCTAAGGCCAATATGACATGTCTGAAGGACTGTGGGTGCCTCTGAGTAAGGATAGGAAGCAGTCTTAGCTTTTGCTGTAGGCAAGGAGCTATTTCTCTGAATTTAAACTGTTATAAGATAGTGATCTGGTTGTGAACTGGTAGGGGAGACAAATGTAAACATGAGAACCGAGTAGGAAAAGAAGGAAAAATGTAGGGTGAAAATGATTTTTGTTTTGTTTTTATTTTCAACCTTGTGGCTGCGACACCATTTCTTAGAGGATTCCCTGAGTAGCTTCTCGAGCTAAGTGTTGGTCCAGCCAAGCCTTGGGAAGATTCACCAAACTTCTAACACTCATCCTTGCATACCTGCAGTCAAGACCAAAACTTGGCTTTCTTATTAGTGGCCACCTATGTGCGCCTATATTTGTCAGGTCTGTTCAGCCGAGATGCTTCCCTCATGCCCTGCACGATTGCATCTCTACATGACAGGTTCAATTGGCTGGTTTCTCTCACCCTTGTCAGTTCTGGAACTTCTGGGAGGGCCCCAGAAATTCCAGGTTCTGAGAGGACCCCAGAAATTCCAGGTTCTGGGAGGACCCCAAAAATTCCAGGTTCTGGGAGGACCCCCCAGAAATTCCAGGTTCTGGAAGGACCCCCCCCAGAAATTCCAGGTTCTGGGAGGACCCCCCCCCAGAAATTCCAGGTTCTGGGAGGACCCTCCAGAAATTCCAGGTTCTGGGAGGACCCCCCAGAAATTCCAGGTTCTGGAAGGACCCCCCAGAAATTCCAGGTTCTGGAAGGACCCCCCAGAAATTCCAGGTTCTGGAAGGACCCCCCAAGAAATTTCAGGTTCTGGAAGGACCCCCCAGAAATTCCAGGTTCTAGAAGGACCCCACAGAAATTCCAGGTTCTGGAAGGACCCCCCAGAAATTCCAGGTTCTGGGAAGACCCCAGAAATTCCAGGTTCTTGGAGGACCCCAGAAATTCCAGGTTCTGGGAGGACCCCCCCAGAAATTCCAGGTTCTGGAAGGACCCCCCAGAAATTCCAGGTTCTGGGAAGACCCCAGAAATTCCAGGTTCTTGGAGGACCCCAGAAATTCCAGGTTCTGGGAGGACTCCAGATGTGAGGCTTTAATAACCCAAGATTTTAAGACTCTGGGTTTGACCCCCCCAAAGTGCCTGAGAGGGGTTAACCATAGTAGTAAGGATGTTACAAGTATGGAAACTATGTGTAATGAAGATATACACTGAACGAATCAGTGTTTATAGCTACCAAGTAAACCGTTGATGACCATGTGTGGTGTAACCCATAAAATTCCCATTGCGGGGATACCCTGAGAGTTCATAATGGTCTACAAAAGATGTGAAGATGTTACAAGATGTGAATGTTACAAAAGATGTTACAAAGATTGAGGTCAAGTGTAGTGATAACGTAGCCCCTGTTCTTCACTCAACAATACCAGGTACCTCAGCTGGTTTTATAATACAAGGCAAAATAGTGCAGTACAGTATTTCCTAAGACTTAAATGCTGTGGTCATAAATATTAAAGTGCTTACAGTGCACTGCAAACTCTAATTCCACTACTTTCTGCTAATTAATTTTAACACAAGTCATGTAGGTATGCTGAAGTACATATCAAATTGGACATAATGGTCAGTTATGTCAGCATTATGTCAATTAATTGTCAACATTACGGAAGAACAGTTCAGTGTCTCACAATATTAAACAAGATATTAGGCAACTTATTTCCCAGTACTGGACTGGGTTTATATAAGTACACAAAACTGCAATTATAATTTTTACTCTGAAGCCCATAATAAGCCTCATCATATTGAGAAAGCTAACACATATTTTTAATTACTCTATCTTTGGATATAGATATGTTAAAGGTAAATTCCAGTTAAGTGAACTACTTACAGTCAATCTCCTTAGAAAATGGATAAAGCTTTCCATACAGGTTTACATCTTCAAAGTGGTGGTCAGAGACGTACTTTTCTATGCGTTCCAAGGTGGTGCGACGGTGCTTGTGCATGCTGGCTTTCACCTCTTCATCCATCGTTGTCTACATGGCCAATATAAAAAGAGCAGAGACAGGCTATAGAGATATAGGATAGGTTTAGTTACTAGTCAAAAGGTACTCATGAACACTTAGGTAATTGAGCAAAATAAAAATATAACCTAAAATGAAGCCTTTAATGTAATGAAAAGCCCCTTTCTAGATGGCCCTCTGTAGCTTCTTGTAGCCAGGCACATGCTCAGCCCAGCCTTGGAGAGATGCACCAGACCTCCAAGACCCACAGGTGTTCAGGGAGCCAAGACCTGAATCTGGCTCTTGTGACATGGGGCATGGGAGAGAGGAAATATCAGGGAAAAGCACGAAGCCTTTATGACTATATAGCATTTGGAAGGGGTCGGGATAAGGATTTGGGATGGGACGGGGGGGGGGGGGAGGAATGGTGCCCAACCACTTGGATGGTTGGGGATTGAACGTCGACCTGCATGAAGTAAGACCGTCGCTCTACCGTCCACCCCAAATGGTTGGGCTCATGAGAGCAAGATTTCAGGTGGGGCAATTGTAGGCAAGAACAAGAGAAATTTACTGGGAACAAGAGGCATTTATTGGGAACAAGAGGCATTTATTGGGAACAAAAGGCATTTATTGACCAAACCACACACTAAAAATTGAAAAGACGACGACCTTTCGGTCCATCCTGGACTATTATCAAGTCGATTGTTGTCCAGGACAATAATGGTCCGGGATGGACCGAAACATCGTCGTCTCTTCAATTCCTAGTGTGTGGTTTGGTCGACATTTTTCAGTCACGTTATTGTGACTCATCATCTGCAAGAAGCATTTATTGGGAACACAAGGGATTTATTGGGAACATGAGGGATTTATTGGGAACATGAGGGATTTATTGGGAACACGAGGGATTCATTGGGAACAAGAGGCATTTATAATAATAATTTATTTGCAAGAAGGTACAGTGGGTTGGTGAGATTACATAAGATTGGTACTGTATTTTTACAATTGTGCAAAGTCGCTAACACACATAGCGTTTGGGGCAAGTCCTTACTGTAACATATCGGGTAAGATGAAAAGGTACGTTGTAGCAAGGTTTTATATCAACAAATAACTACAATATAAGTTGACAGAGGTGATTACACTGATGAAGATATATGTCTTAAGTACTAATATTGGGGAAGTGGGCAGTACAAGATACAGTGAGAGTTTGAAGCACAAGGTAGGAAATTATGGGGATGAAATTAGGTACTTTTTGGTTTTACTTTTGAACAGGGGATGAGCTGGAATTTTTTTTTAATTCATCAGGGAGCGAGTTCCATAGACTGGGCCCTTTTATTTGCATGGAGTGTTTGCACAGATTTAGTCTGACTCTGGGGATATCAAAGATATCTTTATTTCTGGTTTGGTGCTCATGGATTCTATTACAGCTATCAAGGAGAAGTTTCAGATCAAGATCAGCATTTTGGAACAAGATTTTGTACATGTAGATAGCATATGATAATGTGTGGAGTATGTTTATCATGTTAAGGGACTTTAACAGAGGGGCTGTGTGTTGTCTGAAGATAGAGTCTGTTACAGTTCAGATAGCAGATTTTTGCCGAGTGATGATGGGCTCGAGGTAATTTGCAGTGGTTGAACTCCATGCACAGATACTGTATGTAAGATAGGGATAGATTAGTGTGTAGTATGAGAGAGCTGTGTGGAGAAAATAATATCTGATTTTAGAAAGTATACCGACCGTTTTTGAGACTTTTTAGGCTATGTGTTGTATGTGGGTGCTGAAGTCGAGGCTCTTGTCTATGTATAGACCAAGGAACTTTCCATCATTTTTATTGATAATGTTAACATTGTCTATCTGAAGTTGAATCTAATTTGATGATTTACTACCAAATAAAATGTAGTAGTAAGTCTTTTTTATGTTTAATGTAAGTTTGTTTGTTGACATCCATAAGTGGACTTTTTTTAATTCATTGTTGACAATATTATTTAGTGTGTGGTGGTGGTTGGTGTCAGAGAAGATGATGGTCGTATCGTCATCAAATAGTATAGGGTTAAGAATTTTAGAAACATTTGACAAACCATTGATGTATATAAAAAATAGGAGAGGTCCCAAGATGCTGTCCTGTGGCACCCCTACTGTCAATGGTAGAGTGGGGGAGGTTATGTTATTGATGGCTACATATTGGTGTCTGTCACTGAGAAAGGAACGAATATAGTCTGAAGCAAGGGCCTCGGATACCATAGTGGTGAAGTTTACGTAAGAGGTAGTTAGGGTTTACAGTATCAAAGGCTTTTTCATGTCAATGAAAAGACCAGTTGGGAACTCATTTTTTGTCAAGAGTTGTGTAGATAATATTAAGCAGACTAATAATGGCATCACTGGTACTCTTTTGGGAACGGAAGCCAAACTGGCAGGGACTAAATATGATGAGTTTTACAAGGTAGCAATAGAGCCGCTTGTAATTAATTGTTTCAAATATTTCCAAGGTACAGTATAGGTAGATTTGATATTGGTCCGTAATTGTCAGCTGTCTCGGCTCCTAGGAATTATTGGGAACAATGTGAGGTGTCGCGGTGACTGTAGAGTGTAGACAGTTAGCTAATTACCTGGTTGGAGCAGCTATGAGGAGGAGGAGGAGCAGTTGTTGACACGGCAACAGGTGTTGTTTATGTGAAGGTGTTGGTCGTGTTGGCCGCCGCTGCCTTGGTCACGTTTTTTATGGTTGGTGGTCAGGGGAGATTTTCTTATGCGCCTTTAACTTAGTTGGGACCGACAATTTTATAATAATTATAATTAATTTTGTAAGCAAATGATCACAGCTTGCTTGAGTACTTTATATGTTACTCACAGATTGATTACTTCACATGTTATCCTGCCACTTTGCACTGGCATCACGATCTTAACACTTGGAAAATAGGACTCTTTGAAATTGAGACTCTTATTGGCTCCCATGGGCCAATAGGCCTTCTGTAGTTACCTTCATTCTTAAATTAGAAGCTCTAAACCCCATACCGCTTACGCCTAATCACCACTCGCAAGTTGGTGGGAATATTAATGGTGTTCTCATTGTTGTTGTTGTTGTTATAGATTCAGCTACTCGGAACAAGTTCCAAGTAAAAAAAAAAGTGCACGGGCTCGTAGCTTACCTGGCATAGGAGCGGGGCAAGTAGCACGGGCTATGGTGAGCCCGTAGTGGACTTACCTGGCACAGGAGCGGGGCAAGTAGCACGGGCTATGGTGAGTCCGTAGTGGACTTACCTGGCACAGGAGCGGAGCAAGTAGCACGGGCTATGGTGAGCCCGTAGTGGACTTACCTGGCACAGGAGCGGGGCAAGTAGCACGGGCTATGGTGAGTCCGTAGTGGACTTACCTGGCACAGGAGCGGGGCAAGTAGCACGGGCTATGGTGAGTCCGTAGTGGACTTACCTGGCACGGGAGCGGAGCAAGTAGCACGGGCTATGGTGAGCCCGTAGTGGACTTACCTGGCACAGGAGCGGGGCAAGTAGCACGGGCTATGGTGAGTCCGTAGTGGACTTACCTGGCACAGGAGCGGGGCAAGTAGCACGGGCTATGGTGAGTCCGTAGTGGACTTACCTGGCACGGGAGCGGAGCAAGTAGCACGGGCTATGGTGAGCCCGTAGTGGACTTACCTGGCACAGGAGCGGGGCAAGTAGCACGGGCTATGGTGAGCCCGTAGTGGACTTACCTGGCATAGGAGCGAGGCAAGTAGCACGGGCTATGGTGAGCCCGTAGTGGACTTACCTGGCACAGGAGCGGGGCAAGTAGCACGGGCTATGGTGAGTCCGTAGTGGACTTACCTGGCACGGGAGCGGAGCAAGTAGCACGGGCTATGGTGAGCCCGTAGTGGACTTACCTGGCACAGGAGCGGGGCAAGTAGCACGGGCTATGGTGAGTCCGTAGTGGACTTACCTGGCACAGGAGCGGGGCAAGTAGCACGGGCTATGGTGAGTCCGTAGTGGACTTACCTGGCACGGGAGCGGAGCAAGTAGCACGGGCTATGGTGAGCCCGTAGTGGACTTACCTGGCACAGGAGCGGGGCAAGTAGCACGGGCTATGGTGAGTCCGTAGTGGACTTACCTGGCACAGGAGCGGGGCAAGTAGCACGGGCTATGGTGAGTCCGTAGTGGACTTACCTGGCACGGGAGCGGAGCAAGTAGCACGGGCTATGGTGAGCCCGTAGTGGACTTACCTGGCACAGGAGCGGGGCAAGTAGCACGGGCTATGGTGAGCCCGTAGTGGACTTACCTGGCATAGGAGCGAGGCAAGTAGCACGGGCTATGGTGAGCCCGTAGTGGACTTACCTGGCATAGGAGCGGGGCAAGTAGCACGGGCTATGGTGAGCCCGTAGTGGACTTACCTGGCACAGGAGCGGTGTTCTCAATGATAACACCTTGAATTTCTAATGCCTATAGCAAAAAAATATCTAAAACAGTTGCCATTCATTCTAAAATCAGATACTATGTACCTCGCTCTGCCCTGATAACGCTCTATTACTCGCTCACCTATTCTTATCTCAGCTATGGTATCTAAGCCAGGCGTTCTACTACCCAAAATTATCTACGACCTCTAATTACACAACACAAACACCAATTAGAACAATAACAAACTCAAGCCCTAGACAACAATCAGACCGTTTAATTAAATATATTAGATATTAAGTTACTACGCATATCCTGTCAAGCGCACTCTGTATATATAGAACACTGAAATGCAATGTTAATCCCGACCTTACGGTCAGGATTAACAGTGGCATTGCATTAATTAGCAATAATCTCTTCCTAGAACATTGTATAACAGCAGTCCGTTCTCCCGAACGTTCACAGCTTCACTAAACTGTAGGATTTCACGGGAGACATCTCCCGTCACGCAGGGTGCAGTCGCACCTCCACAGATCTCCAGTATCATCTATTGATACTGGTAATGGCTCAAAAGGGCCACCACTTACGGGCTACTCATGCCCGTGCCACCTCTTGGGTGGCTTAATCTTCATCAATCAATCTGTAGGATTACCTGAACAAACGTGATATGTTATTCACAGAACCCATATGGCCTCGCCGAGGACAGGAAGCTGGCGGCTTGTCGAAGGTTCCCCTTCATTTGCCTTGATGATCTTTTCCAGCTGTACTCTTAATTTTAACAGAGTTTTGGCATTTACGGCTTCGGCGGGTAGGCGGTTCCATGAGTTTATATTTGTTTATATTCCAAGAGTGCAACTTAACCAAAGGTGAAATGCTCTGCAAATCAAGGGTCCCAAAATGTGTAATTAATCACCTTAATGACCTTAATCACACCAAAGACTGTCCTTCTCTCAATCAATTTAAAAAAAAAACTTAGAACTACTAAATTAACTCTGTAACCTGGTAACTCTGTAACCAGTCTTAATTTCTAAATATTAACGTGTGTTTTGCTGTTAGTGCACATTAATTACTGAACTTGTACTGTTATTGATATTTGTCCAGTAAAGATATAATAACATTTTGTATACTAACTGTTTATTCTGTGAAAATTACTAACAGTTGTTCTGTTGCAGTTCCATCCATTACTCAATTAATGTCATTCTTGTGAAGAAATGCCCGACAGACCACTGGAACATTATCTAACACAGTGCACAGTTACAAACCCATTAAGATTTCAACTTAGATTCAACAGGGCAGAAGAAGTTGTTTAACACGTGGGACAAAATCTTACTGAAGCGACCATACGAGTCATAAATACTCATACTCCGCCCAAGTAAAACAGAAACAAGCAACACTTATTGGCCCAGCCAGAGGCTTAGGGCCCGCACAGGAATATCCCGGAAAAAAATAATTCTCTTTCTATTTCTTCATTTAGAAATGTTTCTGATCTCATTTGCTTTTAAGACTTGCGCCACTTACCAATCCTATCCTTCCTAGACCTAATACACGATATCTCAGACCTAATATAATAAATATCCAATTAGTAACAAAGTAGATGGTAAATTCCTTGGTGTCCTCATCGATAACAAGCTGAATTTCCAGGAACACATTCTAAATATAGCAAAAAAGTCTCTGAAACTGTTGGCATTCTTTCTAAGATCAGATATTATGTACCTCGCCCTGCCCTGGTGACGCTCTATTACTCCCTCATCTACTCTTATCTCAACTATGGTATTTGTGCTTGGGGTTCTACCACCCAAAATCATCTACGTCCTCTAATTACTCAACACAAAGCTGCCATTAGAACTATATTAAACTCTGGCCCCCCAGACCCTCGGTACCGTTACTTAAATCTTTGAATATGTAGCGAGTAAACCTTAGACTCGCTCCATTATCTCATTATCTTAATGGCATAACTCATTAGCACTAACTACACAAGCTATAATCCTATCAATATTTGCAGGTAACAGTTCTTCTATCCACCTCTCCTAGTGTTCTACCATCCTCCTCTCCTAGTGTTCTACCATCCACCTCTCCTAGTGTTCTACCATCCAGTACCTCTCCTAGTGGAAGGGGTCAGGATAAGGATTTGGGATGGGACGGCGGAAAGGAATGGTTTGACCAAGAGTGAAGGATGGGACTTACTCAGTGACTCACTAAGTATAGGTTTCCTCACCACTTAGCGCGAAACTTTAGCCGAAACTAAACTTTGCGCGCCAGACTTTCTAAACTTTTACGGAAATTGTAAGTAACTTTTTGAATAAGTTCTTGTAAGTAGCAATTTTTTACCCGAGAAATGTAGTGGAGAGTGACGCCCATCCATCAGGCAGCCCCAAGGGGAAGTGACTACCATTACCCCCATAATTACCCGAGTGTAATTACTTAAGTGTAATTACAGGATGAGAGCTACGCTCGTGGTGTCCCGTCTTCCCAGCACTCTTTGTCATATAACGCTTTGAAACTACTGACGGTCTTGGCCTCCACCACCTTCTCACTTAACGTGTTCCAACCGTCTACCAATCTGTTTGAAAATAAATTTCTAATATTTTGTTGGCACCTTTGTTTCCTTAGATTGGATCTATGACCCTTTGTTTTTGAGGTTAATAAAATCAAGCAAATCAGGTTGCTGGTTTCAGGAATTCCTCTTTGTCAATTTGGTCGATTCCCGTCATTATTTTGTAAGTCGTGATCATATCTCCTCTTTCTTCTAGGTTTGGCATATTTAACGCCTCTAGGCTCTCCTCGTAACTCTTGCTTTTCAATTTACGAAATCATTTTGTAGCATGCCGTTGCACCTGTTCCAGTTTATTGATGTGCTTCTTGAGATATGGGCACCATACAACTGCTCCATATTCCAATTTTGGTCACACTAAAGTCATGAACAGTTATTTCAGTATTTCACCATCCATGTAATTTAAAGCAAATATGAAGTTGGGAAGCGATACATTCGCTCCTCTCACAATGTTCTTTATGTGTTCCTCTGGCGACAGCTTGCTATCCAAAACCACCCCAGGTCTCGTTCTTTATTAGAGTTCTGTAATTCCTTTCCACGTAATTTGTAGGTTGTGGTATACAAGATTCTGAATGATTCCTTACACAGGTTCCTGAAGGCAGTTCTGATGTTAGCCAGCCTTGCATACGCCGTAGATGTTATTCTTTTCATGTGGGCTTCAAGTTTGGACAGACAGTTCTCTCTAACTGGTGTAGAAACGATGAAGTATATGCATAAATGAACTAGTCAAATTATTTTAATTTTTTGAGGAAGATTAAAACGCCAATTCACGACACAATTTGTATTGAACTATTATAAATTACAAAATGTACTAAGTCAAAGTAATTTATGAGATAAACAATAATTTTATCGGTGATTAGCATGACAGTGTGTCGATCATGGTCAATCTTCTGTAAGCGGGGGGGGGGGGGGTTTGCCTGATCACACAGTGGCTGCCTGATCACACAGTGGGCTGCCTGATCACACAGTGGGCTGCCTGATCACACAGTGGGCTGCCTGATCACACAGGGGGCTGCCTGATCACACAGGGGGCTGCCTGATCACACAGGGGGCTGCTTGATCACACAGGGGGCTGCCTGATCACACAGTGGGCTGCCTGATCACACAGTGGGGCTGCCTGATCACACAGTGGGCTGCTTGATCACACAGTGAGGCTGCCTGATCACACAGTGGGCTGCCTGTTCACACAGTGGGCTGCCTGATCACACAGTGGCTGCCTGATCGCACAGCTAGTGGGCTGCCTGATCCCACAGTGGGGCTGCCTGATCACACAGTGGGCTGCCTGATCACACAGTGGGCTGCCTGATCACACAGTGGGCTGCCTGATCACACAGTGGGCTGCCTGATCACACAGTGGGCTGCCTGATCACACAGTGGGCTGCCTGATCCCACAGTGGGGCTGCCTGATCACACAGTGGGCTGCCTGATCACACAGTGGGCTGCCTGATCACACAGTGGGCTGCCTGATCACACAGTGGGCTGCCTGATCACACAGTGGGCTGCCTGATCACACAGTGGGCTGCCTGATCCCACAGTGGGCTGCCTGATCACACAGTGGGGCTGTCTGATCCCACAGTGGGGCTGTCTGATCACACAGTGGGGCTGTCTGATCACACAGTGGGCTGCCTGATCACACAGTGGGGCTGTCTGATCACACAGTGGGGCTGTCTGATCACACAGTGGGGCTGTCTGATCACACAGTGGGCTGCCTGATCACACAGTGGGGCTGCCTGATCCCACAGTGGGGCTGCCTGATCACACAGTGGGCTGCCTGATCACACAGTGGGCTGCCTGATCACACAGTGGGCTGCCTGATCACACAGTGGGGCTGCCTGATCACACAGTGGGCTGCCTGATCACACAGGGGGCTGCCTGATCACACAGTGGGCTGCCTGATCACACAGTGGGCTGCCTGATCACACAGTGGGCTGCCTGATCACACAGTGGGCTGCTTGATCACACAGTGGGCTGCTTGATCACACAGGGGGCTGCTTGATCACACAGTGGGCTGCCTGATCACACAGTGGGCTGCTTGATCACACAGTGGGCTGCCTGATCACACAGTGGGCTGCCTGATCACACAGTGGGCTGCTTGATCACACAGTGGGCTGCTTGATCACACAGTGGCTGCCTGATCACACAGTGGGCTGCCTGATCACACAGGGGGCTGCCTGATCCCACAGTGGGCTGCCTGATCACACAGGGGGCTTCTTGATCCCACAGTGGGCTGCCTGATCCCACAGGGGGCTGCTTGATCCCACAGGGGGCTTCTTGATCCCACAGGGGGCTGCCTGATCACACAGTGGGCTGCCTGATCCCACAGGGGCTGCCTGACGACACAGAAGCTCCAGGCAGAGGACCAGGAGACTCAGCGCCAGGCCACACGCCTGTATTAGGAACACGCCCTGAAAGAAAACGGGATCACATCTTCACATTTGCAACCTTTACCTGAATTTACCCGAATTCACCAACACTCTAGTGTCCTCGACGAGGACAGGAAGCCGACGGCTTGTCAAAGCATCCCTTCCTTTCATTTTCCATGATGATCTGTTGGTTTCCAACCATCTTTATTGAATGTGAAAGGTATAGCTTCTGGGCTTTATTTTACGCTTTGTTTACATTTGTTTACATAATAACAAATCAGCCAGATTCATGACGCAGTTACGCAATTACTTACGAACTTGTACATCTTTCCTCAATCTTTGAAGGCTTTGGTTACATTTATTAAACAGTTTACAAGCACTAAAACTTGCCAATCAACTGTTGTTATTGTTATAAACAGCCTCCTGGTGCTTCCGAGCTCATTAACTGTTTAATAACTGTAAACAAAGCCGCCAAAGTTTGAGAAAAGATGTACAGGTTCGTAAGTGCTTGTGTAACTGCTTCGTGAATCTGGCCCCCTGGAATTTAAGTCAATATCACACAATAAAGGAAATATTACCCATAAGTTTGCGAAGGAGAGAGATGACTTGATCAGCACCTTGGTCGGTAAGTTAGTACAGGCGGTGAAGTTGGGGTTTAAGCTTTCCATCCAGTGGTTATAGAGGCCAGCTTCCTGTATCCTGCCGATCCTGGTGAAGATAGTGACATGACACACACACACGTGTCAGCTGTTGTACAGGATTTTAACTCTAAATACATGACAGTGATTTTTGTGTGTGGAGGATTTGAAGTATGGGATTTAAGAGTGTTTTATGGGTCTTAGTATGCAGTGATATAATATTATATGGAATGGAATAGTGCTTCATGGGATGGTACAGTACCACATGGGATGGTACAGTATTGGTACATGGGATGGTAGAGTTCTACATGGGATGGTAGAGTTCTACATGGGATGGTAGAGTTCTACATGGGATGGTACAATACCACATGGGATGGTAGAGTTCTACATGGGATGGTAGAGTTCTAAATGGGATGGTAGAGTTCTACATGGGATGGTAGAGTTCTACATGGGATGGTAGAGTTCTACATGGGATGGTACAATACCACATGGGATGGTAGAGTTCTACATGGGATGGTAGAGTTCTACACGGGATGGTAGAGTTCTACACGGGATGGTACAGTACCACATGGGATGGTACAGTACCACATGGGATGGTACAGTACCACATGGGATGCTACAGTACCACATGGGATGGTACAGTTCTACATGGGATGGTACAGTACCACATGGGATGGTACAGTACCACATGGGATGGTACAGTACCACATGGGATGGTACAGTACCACATGGGATGCTACAGTACCACATGGGATGGTACAGTACCACATGGGATGCTACAGTACCACATGGGATGCTACAGTACCACATGGGATGGTACAGTACCACATGGGATGGTACAGTACCACATGGGATGCTACAGTACCACATGGGATGGTACAGTACCACATGGGATGCTACAGTACCACATGGGATGCTACAGTACCACATGGGATGCTACAGTACCACATGGGATGCTACAGTACCACATGGGATGGTACAGTACCACATGGGATGCTACAGTACCACATGGGATGCTACAGTACCACATGGGATGGTACAGTACCACATGGGATGCTACAGTACCACATGGGATGGTACAGTACCACATGGAATGCTACAGTACCACATGGGATGGTACAGTACCACATGGGATGCTACAGTACCACATGGGATGGTACAGTACCACATGGGATGCTACAGTACCACATGGGATGGTACAGTACCACATGGAATGCTACAGTACCACGTGGAATGATGGTCTTTAATGAAAATGACAATTTCAATAAGACTCTCATTGAGGTCACACCAGGAGGCCGCCACCCGCCGCCACCTCTAGACCAAGTCGGAGCCAGACACCGTCTTAAACCCTCCCTCCCTTCCTGCCTCTGATCTAAAAGGAAGCAGAAAGAAACTATGACCCTTATGACCCAAGGGGATAAGTGCGTCAAACACTGAACTCCAGTATCACTCTGCGCAGTTTAAGATGAATGGCTGACTGCGCCGTCCAGACGCAGCCGTCAGCGATGAACCGTTGGCCGCTCAAGGTGCATGAAGCAACACTAGATTTTGCTCATCTATGTCCTCCTGACTCTGCTTGACTGGAAACATGAGTCCTGGAAGGTGAGACTCCAGCCTGCATGAGGGGAGTGGAGCGAGGCATGGCTGTTGCAGCCTCGCAAGGTTGACGATATCTGCAAGTTGTGATCAAGCTTAAGTCAAGCTGCAACAAACAAGTTACAGCCCCGCTCCTGTGCCAGGTAAGTCCACTACGGGCTCACCATAGCCCGTGCTACTTGCCCCGCTCCTGTGCCAGGTAAGTCCACTACGGGCTCACCATAGCCCGTGCTACTTGCCCCGCTCCTGTGCCAGGTAAGTCCACTACGGGCTCACCATAGCCCGTGCTACTTGCCCCGCTCCTGTGCCAGGTAAGTCCACTACGGGCTCACCATAGCCCGTGCTACTTGCCCCGCTCCTGTGCCAGGTAAGTCCACTACGGGCTCACCATAGCCCGTGCTACTTGCAAATTTTTATTCCCAGTAGCTGAATCTAAAATTACAACAACAACATGCAATAAACTCACTCGCACAACTTTGTACATAGATTTGTTGCTGTACACTTCGTACCTTACAACATGTACATACTTAAGCTAAAGGATGATGTTAATAAATAATACTAAGATAACATAGGAGAAATCATTTCTCGGCAGACCTACTATCTTAAAGGAAATCGATAATATTAGAAGTGAAGTTTTACGTAAGACATTGCGTAAATTAACATTGTAAATACAAATAAAGCCTACTATAATACGTGGAGTTATTCGGTACCATTTACATCTCACCATGTGGGTACATACACCTACCTCTCACTAAGGACAGGCACGAGGGAGTGCCCCCGGGGGCAGACCAGGCAGAAGGGCAGGGGCATGAAGTCTTCCCGCGCTACATAAAAGTCACATCGACCTGGAACACCAAGCTTGGTTTACACAGGTACACTATCATACGTAAGCTTAATCTTTATCATTAACTTCACATTGATTAAGTCTAAGATATTCCTGACTAATCAGTTCTTCAGTAAAATAAATATTGCTCTTAATACTATTCCTATGAATTGTTCAGGTGTATATACGTGTTCCTGTAAAAGATGGGAGCACTTCAGGGACGCTGTGTTCAACGCTGCCCTGTCCACCTTTGATAAGAAGACCAGCAGGTCGGCAGACTGGTTCGAGGCTCACTCTGAAGAAATGACACCTGTCGTTGAAGAGAAGAGAAGAGAAACGCCTTGGCAGCCTACGAACCCTGCCCAAGTCAGCGCAACTTACAGATCCTTCGGGCCGTCCGCTGCAAAGTGCAGCAGAGCGCCAGGCGATGTGCCAACAACTATTGGCTCCAGCTCTGCTCCCAGATACAGACTGCAGCGGATACAGGCAATGTAAGGGGAATGTATGACGGCATCAAGCAGGCCCTCGGCCCAATCCAGAGGAAGACCGCTCCTCTGATATCTGCCACTGGCGAGGTGATTCAGGACCAGACACTGCAGCTGAAGTGCTGGGTCGAGCACTACTCTGAGCTATACGCCAGGGACAATGTGGTCACCGAAGACACTCTGAGCGCCATTGAGTGCCTGCCTGTGTTAATGGAGCTCGACAAGGAACCGACCCTCGAAGAACTCAGCGATGCCCTAGACTCCCTTGCTTCTGGTAAAGCTCCTGGAAAAGACGGTATTCCTGCCGAGACCTTGAAGTGCTGCAGAGGTAGCCTGCTCATGGAGCTGCATGAAATTCTCTGCCTCTGCTGGGAAGAAGGAGAGGTGCCACAGGACATGAGGGATGCCAACATCGTCACGCTGTATAAGAATAAAGGTGACTGGGGCGACTGCAACAGTTACCGTGGCATCTCCCTCTTCAGTATTTTGGGAAAGCTGCTTGTTCGAGTCACATTGAAGAGGCTCCAAGTATTTGCAGAGAGAATCTATCCAGAATCACAGCGCGGATTCCGAGCTAACAGGTCCACCATCGACATGGTCTTTTCCCTCAGACAACTGCAGGAGAAATGCAGGGAACAGAAGCACCCACTCTTCGTAGCCTTCATAGACCTGACGAAGGCCTTCGACCTCGTCAGCAGGGATGGCCTGTTCTAAATCCTCCCCAAGATCGGATGCCCACCCAGGCTCCTCAGCATCATCAGATCTTTCCATGAGAACATGAAGGGCACCGTGGTCTCTGATGGCCTAAGATCAGACGCCTTCTACATCCGAAATAGAGAAAAGCAGGGCTGCGTCCTGGCTCCAACCCTATTCGGGATTTTCTTCGCAGTTATGCTGCGGCACGCCTTCGGATCTGTCACGGAAGGCATCTACCTCCGGACCAGGTCGGATGGAAAGCTCTTTAACCTCGCCAGGCTGAGAGCCAAGACAAAGGTTCGGCTGAGGTGTCTGCGTGACTTCTTTTTTTGCTGACGATGCAACAGTCACCGCCCACTCAGCCGAAGACCTACAACGGCTCATGACCCGCTTCAGCGAGGCCTGTCAGGCTTTCGGACTCACCATTAGCCTGAAGAAAACATGGGACAAGGAGTGGACTCCCCACCTATCATCGGCATCTCCGATTCCAAACTGGAAGTCGTTCACGACTTCGTGTACCTGGGCTCCACAATCTGTGACTCCCTCTCTTGATACAGAGCTAAACAAACTCTGTATCATCTACCAGGCATCTACTACCAGGTCCAAACTGAACGCCTACCACATGCACTGCCTACGCCACATCTTGGACATCATCTTGCAGGACAAGGTGACGAACAACAGCGTCCTGGGGAGCGCTTGAATCACCAGCATGTACACAATGCTGAGGCAGAGACGAATGTGCTGGCTCGGGCACGTGCGAATGGGCGACGGCAGGATCCCCAAGGATCTCTTGTATGGAGAGCTGATGTAGGGAAAGCGTCCAACAGGCAAACTCCAGCTACGGTACAAAGACGTATGCAAGATTGTCCTGAAACCCATGGACGTTGACCTTGCTACATTGGAAACGCTGGCCGCAGACCGATCAGCCTGGGGGCAGTGTGTTCAAAGAGGTGTCTCCCAAGTTCGAGGAGTCACTTGCCAAGGAACCAGAGGCAAAGAGACAGAAGGTTAACCGGTAGCCAGGAAGAGAGACCAGAATCAGACTTCGTTTGTGCTCAGTGTGGGATGGACTGCCACTCTGGGATTGGCCTCATTAGTCACACCAGACGCTGCACCAGGACTGACAACCAGGGCATAACTCCATAGTCTCCCGAGACTGAAGGATGCCTACTACATACATGTTCACTACGGTCTTATATGCAAGTATTGTACCATTGTGCACTCTTACAGATAGTGAGATTGTCTTTGAAAATATAAAAAGTGTTCCTGCGAAACGCTTCTAGGCGTCAGACCATAAATAAAGTGTGAAAATGAACTCTGGAGAGTTAATTTTTCAAATACCCCCACCAGTGAAGAAAAACATAAGAAATATTGAGAAGATTCGTGTTAGAATCATTAATTTTGCCCTTTCGGTCATATTCAACAACATGTTTACAAGAAAAATTGCTACCAATATAATATATACATATATATATATATATATATATATATATATATATATATATATATATATATATATATATATATATATATATATATATATATACACACGTATATTTATATGTAAAAGAGGTGGAGAGACTAGCAAGCAGAACTAACGTAACCTGTGAGTGAGAAGTCTCGAGCCATCGCCGCTGACACAAGGACATCTTCAAAGATAAGATAATGATGGCCGCGTCTGACCAGAGTGTCGATGCTCCTCAAGATGTCCCAGGTCGGGATGTACTCAACACGATTGGTGTTGTGCAAGTCAATGATGACTTGAGATGCGTCAGGCCTTGGCTTCTTGAAGACATATAAGTAAATGAAATCATTATTTATGCTCATTAGTATCATTCGCCTACACTTTTAATTTAAAATGTTTTGCATTAAATTTATTAAGTAGTCTGCATCAATTAAGGGACTTTTTTTAGAAAATTACTGAAAATTCTAAAATAAATATTTAGATAGTGATATTTGTGTTTCTTATTGTACATAACAATGTGAAGTTTGAATGTCTCAAGTTATTCAAAATACTACGATAAACAGAATTAAAATATAACCAAAAAAGTATACAGAAATATAAAAGAAATTCCTCGATTTTCCCGAGGAAATCGAGATGCAAGTTCCCATAAACTTGCAAGTTGCATTGCAATCTGGATGCAAGTTAGATTTATTGAAAATGTATTAAACACTGCCAACGAAACATACAGAGTGTATATATGCCTTACCAAAATATACAAAGCTTTTATCGAGCCATTCTCAATCATGAGCGTTGTAGACGGGTCGTGGACGATGTCCCGGAGGCGTTGGACGGGCTGGGAGACGTGTTTGACGGCCAGGAGAGCCATAAGGTTACCGCTGTAGCTCTGCGTCAGCACCACCGTCGCCAGCATCCACACCAGCACCACCACCCGCTCCCACCACCACATCCTCCGCACCCATATATCTGCACCACCAAACATTTCAAGTGTGTAGCTACCTTGAGGTGCTTCCGGGGCTCAGCGTCCCCGCGGCCCGGTCGTCGACCAGGCCTCCCGGTTGCTGGACTGATCAACCAGGCTGTTGGACGCGGCTGCTCGCAGCCTGACGTATGAGTCACAGCCTGGTTGATCAGGCATCCTTTGGAGGTGCTTATCCAGTTCTCTCTTGAACACTGTGAGGGGTCGGCCAGTTATGCCCCTTATGTGTAGTGGAAGCGTGTTGAACAGTCTCGGGCCTCTGATGTTGATAGTTCTCTCTTGAACACTGTGAGGGGTCGGCCAGTTATGTCCCTTATGTGTAGTCAGCATGGAGACGAATGACAAGCCATGAGCAGTTGCAGCACAGCTAATATGTACATATATAGAGTACCACCTCTTGGTGCTATTCTGGGGACCCATTGCCTCAGAGAAGGAAATATAGAGCATTCAGCGATAATTATGCATATATATTTCTCCTACTACCTCCTTTACTATTAAAATTAAGTGGAAGAGAGGGATTATGTATTACATATTTAGCATATACCCAAGACACACTGTAAATCGTAAGTCTTCTCCAGGTCAGAGGTCGGATGTGTGCCCGTCATGAAGAAAGTGTTCCCTCTCTGAATCACAATGCTCAGGCGGAGGAAGAGAAAACTGGTCCGTGTTAGCTCCTTAGTTTCCACAATGAGCTTATCCCCAAACTCATTTAAGAATTTGAGTATACCAAATACAAATACAAATATTTATTCAGGTAAAGTACATACATACAAGGTGAAATACAAAAGTTGATGGATTTATAAATAGAGCTAGTACATACAATGCCTAAAGCCACTATTACGCAAAGCGTTTCGGGCAGAAACGCTTTGAACCTAATGTCTCTGAGCCTATAGGAACGAAGCTCCAGCTCATTATTTGAACAAAACCCCAGTTTGAATCTGTCTTAACACATAAGGGGGCCCATAGCCTTGGATAAAAGCACACAAAGCATTAGAGGGAGATTTTTCAGTCTCCTCCAATGCTGTTTTTACGTTCTTTTGTCTTACCAGTCATGCACTTTCTTTTAATGTTTTCTTTTCTTTATTTGATATTTTAAAGGCTACAAGTTACACATTGGTGAATACAAGGAAAGGTTAAATGTTGTGGATCTCTTGGAGCTCCTCAGCTTCTAGTCATGAACTGAAGACGCAGAAGGTGTTCCCCCTCTGGATCCCCCATACTAAGGCATTCCCCTCTGGATTACCACACTGAGGCATTCCCCCCTCTGGATCCCCACACTGAGGAGTTTCCCCTCTGGATTCCCACACTGAGGTATTCCCCTCTGGGTCCCAACACTGAGGTGCTCCCCTCTGGAGCCCCACACTGAGGCAGTTGAAGAAACCGGCAACTTCTGGGTCTCTGGAAATGTCGATGAGCCTAGAACTCTATTCTCGAAGAACGCTCAAGGAATCCCTACCCCTGGGGCGACCCCTACCCTAGGCACCTGGAGTTGGGAACAAAAGTGTACCGACTTTCAGATTACTTGTATTTGTTTGATGTTACTGCTTCCCTGTGGTTGGTCACACCACATGCTTGTACAGCACCCAAGACTATATAGGTGTCAGAGAGGGTAGATACACATGTGTAGTCACCCGCACCCTGTTTGACCCTCTTCCAGGGGTATGTTGTCATGCTAACTGGGCAAAGTGTAGGATTGTCAAGGTTTGGCAATTTTGGATTTTATAATCCAAGATTAAATATGCAAATATATTTAAATAATAAAATATAATAAGAATTTCATAGCTCAATTTATGTGTTCTCTCTCAATTGTGAAATAAATACATATTGCCACCAAGAAGGGTCGATAGTACGTTATCACCCACTTTGCTGTAGGAATATCGAGATGAAGTTGAATGTGTCGTCGAACCATCGTCCAGGACTCCTGATGGCGGTGCACACGGACAGCAGGGAAAGGATGAGAGGCAGGACCAGCAGCGTGGCAAGCGTCGCCGTCCACACCACCGGCCTCAGAGGGAAGATGAAGTTCCACGGGTCAACCTCAGGGCGCCCGCGTCGTCCCATGATCCTTCCGTAATATACTCCAACAGGTGATGTGAAGTCGACGACCTCGGCGCGCGTTGCACCAATCCCGAATGGTCCCAGACCAATGTCCACCTCCTGCGCAAGGCCGTCATTACCAGCTTAATTACAACTCGAAAGTCATTATTTCAATAAAGCACAAGTTTCGTTAGATAAAAGTAACATTTGAATGCAGCCTTTTAGAGCTAAACATATCTGCACAGAAGTCTATTGAAATTGAAATTGAAATAAGTTTATTGAGGTAAAATACACACAAAGGGATGAGGTAGCTCAAGCTATTCTCACCCCGTTCAGTACAACGTGTTAATATATACATAGACACACATCACAAATAAACACATTACCAAACATTTTGAGAGGTAAAAATATACATTTCCTCCTTCACAAGTAGTATGGTATCAGACGTACACACAAATACTTTTATGACCTAGGTATACTGTATAGACAATTTGCAAGACACCTGCAGATAATTCAACCTACACTTTCAAGACATTAACCTTCAGTGGGTTACGCATTATCAATATCTTAGAGTGTCGATAGATTCTAAAATGATATTCAAGAAGCATATTTAATATCTGAAGAAGAAAGCAAAATCACAACTGAATATAATGAGAACAACCACAGGGCCCCGTCTAGGAGCGGGACACAGATTGTTAAGAATGTTTTATATTCACGCCATTCCTTCCCTAGTTGACTATTATTATAGACTGTGGGTTGGTTGGTGTTGTCGTCGTTGATCCTTCTCTATGGACAACCCAACCCACAACTCGGCAGAGTGCTTATACTAGGAGATCACCCTTGGCGCTTCTGGCTCTTGGAGAGGGGCTCAACGTCACACGTTTAGGGGATGCGGCTCCAACACTTAGCCTCGTTGTCACGTGCACACACCCACTCGAGCCGCTGTGACTCCCCACTCTCTCCTTATGAGATATGATCTCCTCAATCCCCTATGACTTACTAGTATTACCTCTTACCCTGTCCACAGCAGTGGATCATGGTTCTTTCTCTCTCTCTCTCCTTCTTTACTACCTCCTGGGAAGCCTCACTAGGACAAGGGCAAACACCAGCAAATTGTGACACATTTACTGAACAAAGCACATACACGATACATACACACATATAATAATAATGAATCCTATACTCTATAATATCACAATCAGGTTGCACTCCAATACCATCAGAACTCTATTATCAGCTTATCAAGTGGTATCCTATCTCCTGGTTCACCACCTGATACTATTAACCTCCTCAAGTTGGTCAAGCCTACATACACTGTTGCACTATCAGTAAGATAATATATATATAGAAAATCAGCATTTGAATGCAATAACATATACCAGTATAAATGTTCATTGATACTTCAGTATAAAAACTCCTTGACATAAGAATGCTAACAGTCACTCACCTCTCACTGCGTCTTGCACGCTACTGACAACCAAACACTATCAACTCCCTACTAGTAATCCACCAGAACTTCCCCTTCCACCTCTGGAAGTTCACAACCCTAATATCCTTAGGTTCTTCCGGGCTTCACTACCAGGATCCTCTGCAGCTCCTCCAGGCTGCTATCATGAAGTTTCCTTGTGCAACTACGGTGCTTCACCCTTCTGTTATGTTCTTCCACAGCTCTCTTGGCTGCTACACCACCTCTACAGAAGCACGTGACACTCCTCTTCACTGCTGCTTCTCCTCACAGCTCGAGGTCCTCTGCTCCACTACCTTGGAGTCTCATCAGCTACATCATCTGCTGGCTTCGAAGTTCTCAGCAACTTCTTCCCCAAAAGACAAACCTGCAACCCATCGACGTTCCAATAAAATGTTCCCCTTTAACACATAAACAAAAATAACCACACAATATGCTTGCCTCAAACCTCTATCTGTCCTCTACATACAGTGAGAGTGGACTCCCCCGTTTTGGGCGGGTCCATACTCCACCTCGCCTGGCGGCGGTCCTCACTCGCTGGGAGGGTCTTCCTCCATCCGGAGCCAGGCTCCCTCAGTCGTCCGCCAGCGCTCAGAGGGGGCGGACGTCGCTCCGTGTTCCTCCCTCTCCACTCTCTTATTTCAGGCTTTCTGCCTTATTAAAACATGCCTAACTTATAAATAAACATCGCTACTGTCGCTGGGCACACGACCAACTACAAACAATCACTATGAACTGGCGTTTATCGTGCTTACCACAGATTAATTGGTCGAGGGCGCTTTCCCTCTGACGGCGTCTGGTCAGGGCGCTCCACACAGCCCACAATAATGCTTCTGGGCGATTTAATATCTGCTCGTCGACCAGGACTTGAGACCACAACGTTCCCAGCTCGATTCCACAGCTGGTACGTCTGCACACTTCTCTTCTCTTAGAGATATATCACTAGGGGTTCCCTTCTGACGGGAGCTCAACGGAGCGCGGCTTCCCCCTGCGATGTCTGGCACTCAAGTGAGGTCAAGGTCCTCCGGAAGCGAGCCTCACGCCTCCAGCAAAATGTCCACATCTCCTAGCCAGTCATTTATCTATTTTCTTCTGCATTGCCCATAATCTCAAACTGTTACACATACCCAAGCAACTATTTTACATATGCGTTATCACCTCAATATTTGCTAGACCTTCTAATCAGGTCAGGCTTGACGAATAACTCTCAAGGAGGGAGACTCGTTTCTCCTGTAGGCTGAGATCATAACACTATGCAGCACCTGCCTTACTCACTCTTTCTCCTGGCCAGCGGGCAAAAGTTGAGGGTGCAAAATGTAACATTCCAAAATGATGCAATGCAAGTCATAACAGGAGCTCCCAGATGGGCTAAAATACTGAACCTAAGACTAGAAACCAAGCTAACGTCGATTGAAATAAGGGTAAAAGGTATTGTTGTATGCATGTTGACCAAGATATTGACTGGACCAAGACTTAGTTCACGTAAAGATATAATCACTGGAGCATGAACTCTGGACAGAAGAGCTTCCAATAGCAACAGGTGGACTCATTAGGAAATAAACACCATCAAAACATTCGATATAACAAATACAGTCACTGAAAGGGGGTGTCGACCCAATGCATGTAGACTTATGCAAGCCCCATGGGAATTGCTGCCAGGAAACCTTAAGATTATTGCTCTTGAAAGTAAAAAGAACGACTAACCCTCATCTGCTATGCAACATTGCACAGATGAACACAGAAGCAAACTTGGCATCTGACAGCTTCACATACTTCACAGATGGATCAATAGACCAGCAGGGACAAAAAACCAGAGCTGCAGTTAAGGTAGGGAATTCTGTAGTTATTTGGAGATTCTCAAATGGGTGTTTAATTTTACAGAGATGCTAGCCATTCAAAAGGCTTTGGAACATGCTCTTGTTGAACACCGACAACATGTTATCATACAGATTCGAGAACTCCCATTGAAATCTTGCAACAAGAACACATATGACAACATCTATCTGACCACAAATGTAACATCATTAATGCAAACACTCAAACGTCAAGGCCGTCGGGTACTTACTAAAGGTACCAAGTCATGTGGGAATAATAGGAAATGACACTGCTGGCGAAGCTGCAAAACTTGCAACTAAGAGAAGAAATGTAGACATTTACATACACAGAGTCTATCACAGATTATGAAAGTAATGAGAAATAGAGCAATGCAAAAGATGTACAGTGACCACAACACAGCAGTTGCAACATCAAGATCTGTAAGTTGGTACAAGAATTCAACCAACTACGAACCACTTATTTTGATCAAAGGGAGCAGTAGAACAAGAGAAGTGCCCTTACATCGCATCAGGCTTGGATACCCATGTGCATGGGAAATAGGCTTACAGGTTCCGGAAGATGAGAGGAAATGTCAGCACTGTGGAGAAATACCCGACAGACCACTGGAACATTATCTAACAGTTCAAAGTTACAGACCCAATAAGATTTCAACTTAGATTCAACAGAGCAGAAGTTGTTAAACACATGGGGCAAAATCTTACTGAAGCGACCATACGAGTCATAAATACTCATACTCCGCCTAAGTAAAAGAGAAACAAAGAAACAAGCAACACTTAGTAGGCCAGCCAGAGGCTTAGGGCCCGCACAGGAATATCCTGTAAAAAAAAAAAAAGTCATTGCCCATAATTACTCATTACCACTCGTAACAGTAATATGAGTGGTTAAATCAGACTCTATGAAGGCTTATAAGACTGATTAGATTTTGTGTGTGTTTATTGTGGAAAGTAAATTTGCACTATATTAAGAGTTACGCTGCAAGCTTCCACTGGGAACAGAAGAATGCATAAACACAGAAATAAACGAGTTTTATCTACCGTAAAGAAATTAATGGTGCCTTTTTTAGAATTAAAATTGTTCGGTTTTTATAATTTCAAAACTCTATAGAAAGATTATATGGCTTTGGCTTTTTCAGTGGTTTTGCAAAAATATCACTAATGTAATCTCACCAACCCACTGTACTTTCTTGTAAATAAACTATTATTATTATGTCGAATATTAATGACTCAAAACGGATAAGAGTGAATAAAGAAACTTGCCGGAAGAGGAGGCTTCTTATTGAAGCTTAAGATGTGTTCACTTCCTTGTTCCTTTCTTCACTCCAGACTCTCCAATTAGTTTATAATCTTAACATTATAGTAAAAGTAAATGTCTTTTTTACTATTTTACTAAAAAGGAGTAAAAGTCATTTGTTTCTTTGCTTCTTTCTCCTCACCGTCAAAGAACAGGACACAATCACTACAGGGAAGTCAAGGAACAGTACACAATCATCACTACAAGGCAGTCAAGGAACAGATCACAATCATCACTACAAGGCAGTCAAGGAACAGTACACAATCATCACTACAAGGCAGTCAAGGAACAGATCACAATCACCACTACAAGGCAGTCAAGGAACAGTACACAATCATCACTACAAGGCAGTCAAGGAACAGATCACAATCATCACTACAAGGCAGTCAAGGAACAGTACACAATCATCCCTACAAGGCAGTCAAGGAACAGTATACAATCATCCCTACAAGGCAGTCAAGGAACAGATCACAATCATCCCTACAAGGCAGTCAAGGAACAGTATACAATCATCCCTACAAGGCAGTCAAGGAACAGATCACAATCATCCCTACAAGGCAGTCAAGGAACAGTATACAATCATCACTACAAGGCAGTCAAGGAACAGATCACAATCATCCCTACAAGGCAGTCAAGGAACAGTATACAATCATCACTACAAGGCAGTCAAGGAACAGTATACAATCATCACTACAAGGCAGTCAAGGAACAGATCACAATCATCCCTACAAGGCAGTCAAGGAACAGTACACAATCATCACTACAAGGCAGTCAAGGAACAGTACACAATCATCACTACAAGGCAGTCAAGGAACAGTACACAATCATCACTACAAGGCAGTCAAGGAACAGTACACAATCATCCCTACAAGGCAGTCAAGGAACAGGTCACAATCATCCCTACAAGGCAGTCAAGGAACAGGTCTGTTACGGCCACTATGGACCAGTAACTGGGGTGTTTATGTTATATCCTCTTTTGTAGTATGCGATCCCAAGTTGGTAGTATGCTCTCAAGGGCTAGTAGTAGTTCAATGCATAAATAAGAGGGGGATAAAGAAGACCCTTCAATATATTCACTTTCACCATTGAATATATATATATAAATATATTATTTCTACACTTATGTACAACGGTGTCTCACACAGGACACAAATGCGTTAGCAGTGTTCGTCAACTGCGGTGTTTCCACCCTCCCAGTACCTTGTCCACTTGTACTGGCGAACACTGAGGAGTTCACCTTCTACACGGACCAGTCCACCCACACAGTATCACGATGCGCCTATACCCCACCTTCGCTCTCCAGCTACTCGCTGGAAGAGGGCTTCAGCAACACGCTGGCAGTGGTCCCAAACAAACATATACAGGGGTAGCTAACCCATGGGGCAGAATTCTTTAGCAGCTTGCTAGCAGCCCTTCACTGTAGGCACATCACTGTCTCCAGTAACCCTTACTCGCCAATCCCGGGTACGCCGATCTACACCAACACTGCATGTACTAGCAGCTAACACTGCTTCAATCAACGGCGGCTACTTAATCTTTTTTCAGGACCAAGGTAAGAGTTCGTGGACTACCCAAGGTAAACTGCCTTTCTCAATACAATTGCCTCCACACGTCACTTCTGTGGACATAAAAACGTCATTAATTAGATGGACAGTGTTAGATGGACTCTCTAACACGGGAGAACCATGAGGTAACACTCATTCACCGGGGAGTTGACATTATGCTCTGTAGCCACAACCTAGATGGCGCTGATCGTGACACGCTACCCACCAGAGGTCATCCACAACGACCTCTCTTTCTAACTATGGCAGGAAACCAGAGCCATTTATCGCTGCCATCTTGAGGTTATCTTGAGATGATTTCGGGGCATTTTAGTGTCCCCGCGGCCCGGTCCTCGACCAGGCCTCCACCCCCAGGAAGCAGCCCGTGACAGCTGACTAACACCCAGGTACCTATTTTACTGCTAGGTAACAGGGGCATAGGGTGAAAGAAACTCTGCCCATTGTTTCTCGCCGGCGCCTGGGATCGAACCCAGGACCACAGGATCACAAGTCCAGCGTGCTGTCCGCTCGACCGACCGGGCCATGCCACCACCAACAGATGGAGTTGTCCACGTAGCGTCCAATACCATGGGAGTTTGAGTGCAAACTCATAAATGGTGCTGGAATTGCCACGCCACACTCCGACGATGGTGTCGATACCGTAACACGGTCACAATCATCACTACAAGTCAAGGAACAGGTCACAATCATCACTACACAATCATCACAACAAGACAGTCAAGGTAAGGTAATTATCAGGGGAAAGCACTAGGTCATTGCGACTATATAACCCTTGGAAGGGATCACGATAAGGATTTAGGATAGGATGGAGGGAAGGAAGGAATGGTGCCCAACCACTTGGACGGTCGGCGATTGAACGCCGACCTGCAAGAAGCGAGACCGTCGCTCTACCGTCCAGTCCAAGTGGTTGGGCTTCAAATGCAGTCAAGTGACTAGACACACTCATCAACTCACCTCCCTACTCACCATACCCAGCATGCCGGACCAGGACCCATCCTCCAGCTGGAACCCCCATACCCCATCAGGAGGCTTCACAAACGTGTACCTACAGTATAAAATATACAACAAAAACTATTTCATGCTTTCGAACAGCCCCAGCTGTGGCGCACCTCAGCTGTGGCACAAATATGAGAATTGTCAAAACTATATATCTCTCCGATCGATTATGCTGCACCCATGCTTACTGTAGTGCCTAAGAGAAAGCTTGGGGGGTTGGAAGAGATGCAAAACGAAGCTATGAGTACTGCCCGGATGCCCCCGTACAACAAAATTACTAAACATGAGGAAGGAACTGAATATAATTGCCCAAAAGAGCCCAACCCCATAGTCTCCTGGGACTGATGGATGCTTACAACTATATATTTGTATTGGTGTATTTGTGTATGAGCGACAAGCCGGAGAAGAACCACCCTTGATAGGATAGTTCTTCTCCGGCCCCGAGCACGGCGGTCTCCGGGGTTGGAGGTCCCTGTGCCCTTCTTCACCAACTTCGAGGTCACCCCCGAACTCACATTTCCAGCGACGGCGCTGGAACCAATCGTATTGGCGTATGCCTTTCTATTGGTGACTTTCAGCGCCGTAGAGAGAGGGGGGACCTGCTGCCTGGGTAAGCCGAATCAATCTACCCTGGCTTTGCGCCCTGGTGAGGCTACTCCAGACCAGGCCGACACCAGAGCGCAACTCCATAGTCTCCTGAGACTGATGATTGCCTACTATTTGTGTTACAACAATTACACAATTGTTGTAAAGCTAGTTACAACACTTGTGTAATGCTCCGCATACCCACGGGATGGGTATGGGGAGCATAAGATTTGAATGAAATGAAAAAAATTATGCTTGCATTATGTAGATATGGTTACAAAATATACATCAGTTATATTTATAATCTGATTAACGAATTGATCGCTATTTAGGAACCTGATAGGAACATGATATAGGAACCTATTAATAAATTAATAGGTTCCTATATCATGATAAACATTACAAAATTTGTGTTCATGTAATCCAAAGATGAACAGTGAACAAATTATACTTTTAACAAGTATGCTTTGTATGCTAAAATACTGCATACGTGTTCAGTCATCATACTTGAGGCAGAAAATACCTTTCAGTCCAAAACACAGTTTTCTAATGTCTTTGTAAACATTCGGGGTTACTCGAAAGTATTTCAGATTCCCGCGCAGAGAGAAGGGCGAAACTCACGTAAAATTTGTGGTGTGCGCCAGAAGCTGGAGGACGTTGGCGATGGGGCTGTTGAAGGCGAGCCTCTTGCCTCCTGGAGCCGCAGGATCGTCCACCATCACCGCTTCGTGAGTCGGGAAACTTTCAGTTACCACCACCAGATTTGGTCTTGAGGAAAACCTGCGACATTAAATTTTAAATTATATATCTATCCCTCTCTATATATTGATGGAAATGCGAAGTTTGTATCTTGAGAATGATGCAAGAATGTTCAGCAAGAATGTTCCTCTTGCTGAACAACATGTTATCGTACATACAGATTCGAGAAACTGACTGATCACACCAGCCAGGGTGGGCGAGGTGTAATGGGTGATGAGTTTGAGTTATTTTGTATCGTCACCTTCACGTTAATCGTCAGCCATCCTGCCTGTCCCATGACATTAGCAGGAGCGGGAGCAGCCGCCTTCTCTGCGGCCGCTTTCTCCGCGGCCTCCTTCTCCGCGGCCTCCTTCTCCGCGGCCGCCTTCTCCGCGGCCGCCTTCTCCGCGGCCGCCTTCTCCGCGGCCGCCTTTGCCGCCTTCTCCGCGGCCGCCTTCTCCGCGGCCGCCTTCTCCGCGGCCTCCTTCTCCGCGGCCTCCTTCTCCGCGGCCTCCTTCTCCGCTGCCTCCTTCTCCGCTGCCGCCTTCTCCGCGGCCTCCTTCTCCGCGGCCTCCTTTGCCGCCTTCTCCGCAGCCGCCTTCTCCGCAGCCGCCTTCTCCGCTGCCGCCTTCTCCGCTGCCGCCTTCTCCGCTGCCGCCTTCTCCGCTGCCGCCTTCTCCGCTGCCGCCTTCTCCGCTGCCGCCTTCTCCGCTGCCGCCTTCTCCGCTGCCGCCTTCTCCGCTGCCGCCTTCTCCGCTGCCGCCTTCTCCGCGGCCGCCTTCTCCGCGGCCGCCTTCTCCGCGGCCGCCTTCTCCGCGGCCGCCTTCTCCGCGGCCGCCTTCTCCGCGGCCGCCTTCTCCGCGGCCGCCTTCTCCGCGGCCGCCTTCTCCGCGGCCGCCTTCTCCGCGGCCGCCTTCTCCGCGGCCGCCTTCTCCGCGGCCGCCTTCTCCGCGGCCGCCTTCTCCGCGGCAGCCTTCTCCGCGGCAGCCTTTGCCGCCTTCTCCGCGGCAAAGGCTGCCGCCTTCTCCGCAGTCGCCTTCTCCGCAGCCGCCTTCTCCGCAGCCGCCTTCTCCGCTGCCGCCTTCTCCGCTGCCGCCTTCTCCGCTGCCGCCTTCTCCGCTGCCGCCTTCTCCGCTGCCGCCTTCTCCGCTGCCGCCTTCTCCGCTGCCGCCTTCTCCGCAGCCGCCTTCTCCGCAGCCGCCTTCTCCGCAGCCGCCTTCTCCGCTGCCGCCTTCTCCGCAGCCGCCTTCTCCGCAGCCGCCTTCTCCGCAGCCGCCTTCTCCGCAGCCGCCTTCTCCGCTGCCGCCTTCTCCGCTGCCGCCTTCTCCGCTGCCGCCTTCTCCGCTGCCGCCTTCTCCGCAGCCGCCTTCTCCGCAGCCGCCTTCTCCGCTGCCGCCTTCTCCGCTGCCGCCTTCTCCGCTGCCGCCTTCTCCGCAGCCGCCTTCTCCGCAGCCGCCTTCTCCGCAGCCCCTGTCTGCCGCACCCCTCCTGCGGGCAGCACCTTCATGGGGGGCTGGGCCACCAGGGCCCCGGCCTCCACCCTGACCCCGGCCTCCACCAGGACTCCGGCCTGCACCTGGGCCCCGGCCTCCACCAGGGCCCCGGCCTGCACCTGGGCCCCGGCCTGCACCTGGGCCCCGGCCTGCACCTGGGCCCCGGCCTCCACCAGGGCCCCGGCCTCCACCAGGGCCCCGGCCTCCACCAGGGCCCCGGCCTCCAACAGGGCCCCGGCCTCCACCAGGGCCCCGGCCTCCACCAGGGCCCTGTACACTCGCAGGGTGATGCCCGTTATCTCCAGGGGCCCGGCGCCCTTCAGAAGCTCCTCCAGGGCCACCTGGGCCTCCTCTAGCTCCTCGTCAGGGAAGGTCGTCCTCAGGATGTATTGCAGTACCTCGAGCTTGTCACTCGAGCCTCGAGCCGCCTTTTCGGGGATTGACTGGGCTCGTGTCTCCTGGGTTAGGGGAGAGGCCCTGATGACGTAGGTGACAGTGTCAGGGAGACACTGGAGGTAGAAGCCGCGGGAGAGGACGAGGCAGGTCACGTGACCTAGGTCCACCTGGAGGTGCCCTGAGGCCAGGGCCTCGACCTGGACCCCCTTGGCCAGCACCTTCATGGCCGGCCGGGCCACCCCCTCCAGGGCCGCCTCCTCCCTCCACGCCCACTCCCACGCCGCCCGCTCCCTCTCAACCCACTCACCCAACACCTTCCTGCCTTCGACGGGAGGATTTTCCCGCCAGTCCGGGCAGACCATGACGACGTAGGTGGCGTCGCCGGGGAGAGACTGGAGGTAGTAGCCCTGGGACAGGACCAGACAGGTCACGTGACCCAGGGTGACGTGGAGCTGGCCGCAGGCCACGGTCTCCTGCCGCACCCCTCCTGCGGCCAGCACCTTCAGGAGGGGCTGGGCCAGTGGGGCCCAGGCTTCTACTAGGGCCCCGGCCTCCACCAGGGCCATGTACACTCGCAGTGTGATGCCTGTTATCTCCAGGGGCCCGGCACCCTTCAGGAGCAGCATCAGAAGCTCCTCCAGGGCCACCTGGGCCTCCTCGAGCTCCTCCTCAGGGAAGGTCGTCCTCAGGATGTATTGCATTACCTCGAGCTTGTCACTCGAGCCTCGAGTACTGTGGCTGTGTTTGCTGGGCATTGTGCTCTTGGGCGCTAGTCTTTGATATAAAACAAATATGTTGATTAGTTTTAAAAGTAATGAATTCTAGGCGGTAGGAAGGTCAAGGAAAAGTCAGATGTTCTGCGGCAGGTGTTTAGTGACCGCCACACACCTGTTGATGCAGGTGTTTGACGGCTGTCTGACTGCTCATATGTGGTTGATTTTAGAGCCACGGTCCCTTTTCGTCTCCTCATCCCTCCCCTCCCCCCATTTTTCACTATCCTGCGTCTTCTCACCCCCTCTTTGTCTCTCACCCTTACTCTTCCCTCTCAACTACTCTTTTCTTATTTCATTCACCCCTTTTATCCTTGTCCAGCTTCTTCCCTCATCTTTCCCCTCCCTCCCTTCCCTCCTCTCCCCTTACGTCTTCATTGTATACACTATTTTCATCGCCATAACCATTGTCATTACTCACTATCTTCATCATCATAACCATCGTAACTATTCACTGTCTACATCACCATAACCGTCGTCACTACTCACTATTGCTAGAGAGTTCACCTCTATTTTAACCTATATCCCGCTTAAAAGAGTCATGTCACCCGGATTTGTATATAATTTGAAACATGAGGAAGAGATTTTGTACATTTATGGAGAAGCCTGAGATGTCGGTGGACGGCAATTATGATTTTTGTTGGAATTGAAAATGGCTTTAGGCTTTTTCTGCCATGAAAATATCAGAGGAGAGCATTACCGCCGGAGGAGGCGAAGACGCGATGCATTGTGGGAGCTGCGCCAGCCGTCTGCTGATTGGTCAGTAGCAAGGGATGTGACATTGTTGACCAATAGCGTGGCGCCCAGGGCGTGACGTAGCAGGTCATTGGGCGCCCTCGGCTCAAGGCGGGAAGTGAGCGCCAGAGCTTCCCCTGTGACGTAACCGAGCGGAAGTGCGCTGGAGAGCTCTCTAGTCCGGGAGGCGAACAGGCCTCACGAAGAGATTATTCGGCAGCAGTTACCAGTGTAAACGACGAGGGAGGCTTGTCATCTAGGGAGCATCGTGAGGCAGAGCTTTGCTGGTGGAAGAGAGGCACCAGGAGCAGAGACCGATAAGACCTATGATCGTTTGGAGTCGGCACTGGAAGGAGCTGTGTGTCAGTTCCTGCGAGCCGCCAACATTGGTAGCTGAGTGAGGCTGCAGAGAAGACTGGATGGATCTACTGAGCAACAGTTAATTACTGGCGACGAGACTACAGGGAAGAAGCAACATATTCAATGAACGAGGGAGGAAGCCGAGCGCAGTGCCAGCCTACAGTGCCAGCCTACAGTGTCAGCCTACAGTGTCTTCAATGTGTGCATGAAGGAAGAGCTGTAGAGAGGAGGGACGTGCACGGAGAAGACGAGGCAGACTACCAGTCGTCGTTGGACCTACGACGAGGCGGATCACTACGTGTCATCACGGAGCAGATCTACGAGGAATCGAAACCCCGACTGCCATCGCGACGTGGGATCCACGACTACTGTAGCGGATTGATAAGATAGATAATCTTTCACTTCCCATTGTCCCTTGAGTTAGGTGGAGTTTCTCTTAAAAGGAACATTAGTATTGAATTTAATGTAAGGAGATTTCCAGGCTCATTATATATGTGTGTGTACGGTTATAGGTAAATATATATGTTTTATGTATGAACTATAAGTGATCATATGTTGGAAGAATGTAATCCGTGCAGTATATTCTGCGAAGTATGGGCCAGGTTTACTTATGTATGTGAAAGAAGGTAGATAAGTGCTAAAGTGACGGCCACGGACAGCTCTACCTGAACAGAGGAAGTTTTTTTCCACCTGTTGACCAATGATTTAGTAAACCTTCATATTTTTTTATACTAGAGTGTTTGCTTTTTCTCTTCCATTTTCCCTACGGTTAGAGAGATTGGGTTGTTGCGTATCGTACCTTTGCATAACATGCTATACTGGAGAATTCATAATACCACCTCTGAGTAAAGTGTGCTATGTGTAAGTGTAAAGTGTACAACATCACTATAACCATCGTCACAACTCACTATTTTCATCACTATAACCATCGTCACTACTATCTAGCAACATCACCATATCCCTCGTCACTACTCACTATTAGCATCACTGTAACATTTATTTATTTATTGGGTTGTGAGAGAACATAACATTGGTGGTGTTACTCAGCCACACACACACACACACACACAAGGAACCGCATGGAGGCGAGGATACGTGGAGAGCCAAACTATTGGAGGTGGTGACAAGCAACTTTTTAACCCAGCATGTCGGAGAACCCACAAGGATGAGAGGCAATGACGAACCAGCGAGACTCGACCTAGTCTTCACTCTGAACGACTCCGACATAAGAGAAATCGGTTTTGAGGACCCAGTAGGAATGAGCGACCACAGTGTACTGGTGTTTGAGTACTTGATTGAAGAAGGGTTATTGAACTCGAGGAGGGATACCGAAACCAAAAGGTTAGCATACCGAAAGGGAAACTATGAGGGGATAAGAAAATTCCTAACAGATATAGCATGGGAAACAGAGCTCAGGGGAAAGACGGCCCAAGATATGATGCATTACATCACGCAGAAGTGCAAGGACGCAGCAAACAAGTTTGTCCCAGTCCAAAAGGAAAACAGAGAAATGAAGATGAGAAACCCATGGTTTAATCAAAGATGTAGGCTAGCTAAGCAGCAAAGTAAAAGGGCATGGAGAAACTATAGGAATAACAGGACACTGGAGAGCAGAGAAAGATACCAGAATGCCAGGAATGAATATGTCAGGATGAGAAGAGAGGCAGAAAGACAATACGAAAATGACATCGCAAGCAAGGCAAAGACTCAGCCTAAATTGTTGCATAGCCACATTAGGAGAAAAACAACAGTAAAGGAACAGGTTATGAGATTAAGGATAGGGGCGGAAGGATTCACTACAAATGACAAGGAAGTGTGTGAGGAATTGAATAAGAAATTCCAGGAGGTCTTCACCTTAGAGCAAGGAGAAATTCCAGAGGTAAGTGAGGGAATAGCTAACCAGGAACCACTGGAAGAGTTTGAGATTACCAGTGGGGAAGTAAGGAAGTGTTTACTAGAGTTGGACGTGACGAAGGCTATAGGCCCAGATGGAATCTCCCCTTGGGTTCTAAAGGAAGGAGCAAGAGAACTGAGCCTACCACTCTCCATAGTGTATAACAAATCACTGGCAACAGGGGAATTGCCAGATATTTGGAAAGCAGCTAACGTAGTCCCGATATACAAGAAAGGGGATAGACAGGAGGCACTGAACTACAGGCCAGTGTCCCTAACCTGCATACCATGCAAGCTGATGGAGAAGATTGTGCGAAAAAAACTAGTGGAGCATCTGGAGCGAAGGAACTTTGTAACACAGCATCAACATGGGTTCAGGGATGGCAGGTCCTGCCTCACAGGGTTACTTGAATTCTACGACCAGGCAACAAAAATAAGGCAAGAAAGAGAAGGGTGGGCAGACTGCATATTTTTGGATTGTCAGAAAGCCTTTGATACAGTGCCACACAAGAGGCTAGTGCGAAAGTTGGAGATGCAGGCTGGAGTGAGAGGGAAGGTACTCCGGTGGATAGAGGAATACCTAAGCAACAGGAGACAACGAGTCTGTGTGAGGGGTGAGGTCTCAGATTGGCGAGACGTCACAAGTGGAGTTCCGCAGGGGTCAGTCCTTGGACCTATACTGTTTCTGGTATATGTAAATGATCTCCCAGAGGGTATAGATTCGTTCCTCTCAATGTTTGCCGACGATGCAAAAATTATGAGGAGGATTGAAACAGAGGATGATAGTAGGAGGCTACAAGATGACCTGGATAGACTGAGTGAATGGTCCAACAAATGGCTGTTGAAGTTCAACCCGAGTAAATGCAAAGTAATGAAACTAGGCAGTGGAAACAGGAGGCCAGGCACAGGATACAGAATAGGAGATGAAGTACTTAATGAAACAGACAGAGAGAAAGATCTAGGAGTTGATATCACACCAAACCTGTCTCCTGAAGCCCACATAAAGAGAATAACGTCTGCGGCATATGCGAGGCTGGCTAACATCAGAACGGCGTTCAGGAACCTGTGTAAGGAATCATTCAGAATCTTGTACACCACATATGTAAGACCAATCCTGGAGTATGCGGCCCCAGCATGGAGCCCGTACCTTGTCAAGCACAAGACGAAGCTGGAAAAAGTCCAAAGGTATGCTACTAGACTAGTCCCAGAACTAAGAGGCATGAGTTATGAGGAAAGGCTGCGGGAAATGCACCTTACGACACTGGAAGACAGAAGAGTAAGGGGGGACATGATCACAACCTACAAAATCCTCAGGGGAATCGACCGGGTAAACAAGGATGAACTATTCAACACTGGTGGGACGCGAACAAGGGGACACAGGTGGAAGCTGAGTACCCAAATGAGCCACAGAGATATTAGAAAGAACTTTTTAGTGTCAGAGTGGTTGACAAATGGAATGCATTAGGGGGTGATGTGGTGGAGGCTGACTCCATACACAGTTTCAAATGTAGATATGATAGAGCCCAATAGGCTCAGGAATCTGTACACCAGTTGATTGACGGTTGAGAGGCGGGACCAAAGAGCCAGAGCCCAACCCCCGCAAGCACAATTAGGTGAGTACACACACACACACACACACACACACACACACACACACACACACACACACACACACACACACACACACACACACACACACACACATAGTGTTTCGGGCAAGTGCTTAATCTAACAAATTATTATCATTAGGTTTATTAAACGGTGCACTGTAGCAAAATGTGAGTTCAACATCACAATATATATTGATGTAAACACTTACACTGGTGAGGCTGCATGTCTTAAGAACTATCACTGGGAGTGGTGGTACAAGGTGCAGGGTGACTTTGAAGTACAAGACTCAGAAAAGGAAGGAGTGAAATGATTGACGTGCAAGAGAGGGAGGGCGGGAGGGCAGATGAGAGAGAGGGAACACAGAGGGAAAATTGCCTTAAACCAAACCTGTCATAGTGAATTCAATAGTTGGCAAATCTAATGAAAGTTCGACACACCTGAAGAACTTGTGAGGGAAGAGAGGCAGACGGGAGGTGAGGGCGAGGCCTCGCTGGGGTGTCCATAGAGCCACCTTCACCGCCTGGGCATCCGGGGTACTGTAAGGCAGCTGGATGTATGCACCACACCTGTAATGAACCAGCTTTAGAAGCCGTCAAGTCTAATAAGCATTGGGAACTACACCACCGCAACAACTTTGCCTATATCGAATCCCTGACGTTTGACCCACGAGAAGAGAGTAACTAGAGCCTTAATTGTCACTGATTTGGGTTCCAGGCTCATAGAAACAACAAGAGACTTAAAAGCAGCTCCTATGATTTCGAGAGCATCAGTTACGCGACCCAGAGTGAGAATGACCACGGCATCCATGTTACCTGAACAGCTTCTGATCAGGAATGAAAAATGGAAGTAAGAATTTAACCCAATCAAATGAATAGTTATGAGGATTGGAACGGAGCTGAGAAAGTCCTGTACACACTAATTATCTGTACACAAACACTAGAGTTAGAAGCACAAGACAATGACCACTATACACTAGTCACAAGACAATGATCACTATACACTAGACACAAGACAATGATCACTATACACTAGTCACAAGACAATGATCACTATACACTAGTCACAAGACAATGATCACTATACACTAGACACAAGACAATGATCACTATACACTAGTCACAAGACAATGATCACTATACACTAGACACAAGACAATGATCACTATACACTAGACACAAGACAATGATCACTATACACTAGTCACAAGACAATGACCACTATACACTAGACACAAGACAATGATCACTATACACTAGACACAAGACAATGATCACTATACACCAGACACAAGACAATGACCACTATACACCAGACACAAGACAATGACCACTATACACCAGACACAAGACAATGACCACTATACACTAGACACAAGACAATGATCACTATACACTAGACACAAGACAATGACCACTATACACCAGACACAAGACAATGACCACTATACACCAGACACAAGACAATGACCACTATACACTAGACACAAGACAATGATCACTATACACTAGACACAAGACAATGACCACTATACACCAGACACAAGACAATGATCACTATACACCAGACACAAGACAATGATCACTATACACCAGACACAAGACAATGACCACTATACACCAGACACAAGACAATGACCACTATACACCAGACACAAGACAATGACCACTATACACCAGACACAAGACAATGACCACTATACACCAGACACAAGACAATGACCACTATACACCAGACACAAGACAATGACCACTATACACTAGACACAAGACAATGACCACTATACACCAGACACAAGACAATGATCACTATACACTAGACACAAGACAATGATCACTATACACCAGACACAAGACAATGATCACTATACACAAGACACAAGACAATGATCACTATACACAAGACACAAGACAATGACCACTATACACCAGACACAAGACAATGATCACTATACACTAGACACAAGACAATGACCACTATACACTAGACACAAGACAATGATCACTATACACAAGACACAAGACAATGATCACTATACACTAGACACAAGACAATGATCACTATACACCAGACACAAGACAATGACCACTATACACTAGACACAAGACAATGATCACTATACACCAGACACAAGACAATGATCACTATACACTATACACTAGACACAAGACAATGATCACTATACACTAGACACAAGACAATGATCACTATACACCAGACTCAAGACAATGATCACTATACACTAGACACAAGACAATGACAATGACCACTATACACTATACACTAGACACAAGACAATGATCACTATACACTAGACACAAGACAATGACCACTATACACTAGACACAAGACAATGATCACTATACACTAGACACAAGACAATGATCACTATACACTAGACACAAGACAATGATCACTATACACTAGACACAAGACAATGATCACTATACACTAGACACAAGACAATGATCACTATACACTAGACACAAGACAATGATCACTATACACCAGACTCAAGACAATGATCACTATACACTAGACACAAGACAATGATCACTAGACACAAGACAATGACACTATACACTAGACACACTATACACTAGACACAAGACAATGATCACTATACACTAGACACAAGACAATGATCACTATACACTAGACACAAGACAAGACAATGATCACTATACACCAGACACAAGACAATGATCACTATACACTATACACCAGACAATGACCACTATACACTAGACACAAGACAATGATCACTATACACTAGACACAAGACAATGACCACTATACACTATACACAAGACAATGGTCACTATACACTAGACACAAGACAATGACCACTATACACCAGACAATGACCACTATACACCAGACACAAGACAATGATCACTATACACTAGACACAAGACAATGACCACTATACACTAGACACAAGACAATGATCACTATACACTAGACACAAGACAATGATCACTATACACCAGACACAAGACAATGATCACTATACACCAGACACAAGACAATGATCACTATACACAATGATCACTATACACTAGACACACAATGATCACTATACACTAGACACAAGACAATGATCACTATACACTATACAGACACAAGACAATGATCACTATACACCAGACACAAGACAATGATCACTATACACTAGACACAAGACAATGACCACTATACACTAGACACAAGACAATGATCACTATACACTAGACACAAGACAATGACCACTATACACTATACACCAGACACAAGACAATGATCACTATACACTAGACACAAGACAATGACCACTATACACTAGACACAAGACAATGACCACTATACACACAGACACAAGACAATGATCACTATACACTATAGACACAAGACAATGACCACTATACACTAGACACAAGACAATGATCACTATACACTAGACACAAGACAATGACCACTATACACTAGACACAAGACAATGATACACTATACACCAGACACAAGACAATGACCACTATACACTAGACACAAGACAATGATCACTATACACCAGACACAAGACAATGACCACTATACACTAGACACAAGACAATGATCACTATACACTAGACACAAGACAATGATAGACACACTATACACTATACACACACAAGACAATGACCACTATACACCAGACACAAGACAATGATCACTATACACTAGACACAAGACAATGACCACTATACACTATACACCAGACAATGATCACTATACACTAGACACAAGACAATGATCACTATACACTATGACCACTATACACTAGACACAAGACAAGATCACAATGACCACAATATACACTATACACAAGACAATGACACTATACACTAGACACAAGACAATGACCACTATACACTAGACACAAGACAATGATCACTATACACCAGACACAAGACAATGACCACTATACACTATACACTAGACACAAGACAATGATCACTATACACCAGACACAAGACAAGACACTAGACACAAGACAATGACCACTATACAATGACCACTATACACTATACACTAGACACAAGACAATGATCACTATACACTATACACCAGACACAAGACAATGACCACTATACACTATACACCAGACACAAGACAATGATCACTATACACTAGACACAAGACAATGATCACTATACACTATACACCAGACACAAGACAATGATCACTATACACTATACACCAGACACAAGACAATGATCACTATACACTAGACACAAGACAATGACCACTATACACCAGACACAAGACAATGATCACTATACACCAGACACAAGACAATGATCACTATACACTATACACCAGACACAAGACAATGACCACTATACACTATACACTAGACACAAGACAATGACCACTATACACTATACACCAGACACAAGACAATGACCACTATACACCAGACACAAGACAATGATCACTATACACTAGACACAAGACAATGATCACTATACACTATACACCAGACACAAGACAATGATCACTATACACTAGACACAAGACAATGACCACTATACACCAGACACAAGACAATGATCACTATACACCAGACACAAGACAATGATCACTATACACTATACACCAGACACAAGACAATGATCACTATACACTAGACACAAGACAATGACCACTATACACTAGACACAAGACAATGATCACTATATACCAGACACAAGACAATGATCACTATACACTATACACCAGACACAAGACAATGATCACTATACACTATACACCAGACACAAGACAATGATCACTATACACTAGACACAAGACAATGATCACTATACACTATACACCAGACACAAGACAATGATCACTATACACTATACACCAGACACAAGACAATGATCACTATACACTAGACACAAGACAATGATCACTATACACTATACATCAGACACAAGACAATGACCACTATACACCAGACACAAGACAATGATCACTATACACTAGACACAAGACAATGACCACTATACACTAGACACAAGACAATGATCACTATACACTAGACACAAGACAATGATCACTATACACTATACACTATACACAAGACAATGATCACTATACACTAGACACAAGACAATGATCACTATACACTAGACACAAGACAATGACCACTATACACTAGACACAAGACAATGATCACTATACACTAGACACAAGACAATGATCACTATACACTAGACACAAGACAATGATCACTATACACTAGACACAAGACAATGATCACTATACACTAGACACAAGACAATGATCACTATACACTAGACACAAGACAATGATCACTATACACTATACACCAGACACAAGACAATGACCACTATACACTAGACACAAGACAATGATCACTATACACTATACACCAGACACAAGACAATGATCACTATACACTAGACACAAGACAATGACCACTATACACTAGACACAAGACAATGATCACTATACACTATACACCAGACACAAGACAATGATCACTATACACTATACACCAGACACAAGACAATGACCACAATACACTAGACACAAGACA